TTGAAAGTCTCATCCAAGCCTATGGACCGGCCACTCACTCACCACAGTGCACATACCCAGAGATAACTGTGTTCTGTTTTGATATTGTAGGGTCTCAAATGAAGCGGACAGAGTAGTATTTAAAAAGTAATTTGAGTACACAGGATACAGAGTCTACTGTTCTTGTAAGGGGCATTTGAATTTTTGATCTCTCTCCTAAGTTTCTCCCAACATCAACTTTGTTTTAACATCAATTTCAAATAAGCTAATATAGTCAGTAAGTTGGAGAAATTCTGTCAACTCAGCCTCCTAAATTACGCAGTGATTACATCTGGCCTTGCACACTTAGCAGAAAGATCAAGTCTCGGTTCAGTAAGTCTCGGTTCAGTAAACAGTAAGACATGCATACATTTTTAGCCATGCTAACTGTTAATGTGCAAATGTGAAATGTTAACCTATAGGTCGGTCTGTTAGTTGGTTGTTTGGCTCACTATTTTGGTCCAGACTGAAATATCTTAACAAACACTGTATAGATTGCTATGACATTAGGTACAGAGACTTTTATGGTCCCCAGAGGATGAAAGATGCTGACTTTGGTGGTCCTTTGACTTTTTTCATAGTGCCACCATGAGGTTCACATTTGTAGTTTTGAGTGAAATGTGTCGACAACTATTGGGTAAAATTTGGTTTGGACATTCGTATTCTCCTTAGGATGAATTTTATCACTTTGGTGACCCCCAAACTTGTCCTCTAGCACCATCATTAGGTAAATATTAGGTGTTGATGTGGTCTTGTGGCTCATGTGTTGATTGAGTCGGTGGATTTCCATCCTTCAACTAGTAGAACACAGAGGGTTCTACAGTGCAGTGTTCTGTGTCGGCGTTTCAGTCCCCTGGGTTTTCCAGAGGTCAGGGGTCAGTCGGTAGTGGGGGACAGTGTGTTCTTGCTCTCGTTTACCATTTCTGCCATCTATTTCATATGATGTGAACATGGCATAAGTACAGCCTCACAGAGCTGCTAATATGGCTCTTAAGCATTTTTACACTGTTCCTGAAACTGGTAGCATTTCATTTTATACCATATAAATGCGACGCTGTTAAGCTGCTGGTATGAGATCCTGGATCCCACTGCTCCTAAATAATAAAGCATAAAGCACCATCCCCAGAACATATCTTGATGCTCACCCTCATCTCCTGAGTGAGCTTGTGAAACATTGTGTTTGGTTGTGTTGGGGGCCGGTCTTAACTGGAGGCAGCCAGCAGTGTCTTAGCCAGGTATCTAGCAGCATACAGTGATTGTGTCTCAGAAGATTGTAAATGGTGAGTGGCATGTTGTCAGCCATGTGGTTTTGCAGACAGAAGAGGGAGATAACAATATTTGGTTGATGCAGGCTACAGCAAACCACTCACACTGCAAACAGCCCAAAACAAAACAAAATATTTTGCAACACCAGTTACCAAAATGAGCTTCCTGTTGTGGAGTCAGTGGTTAGAACCTCATGACTAATTTGTGCCAATACTGTCTGATTCCGTTCCAAAGCTTTGTATGATTTTTTACTTATTAAAGCAATAATTACGGAACAATTTCCTAAATCTGGATCACACACGAATGTTCGAAGAACAAATAATATTGAAAGCGAGAGACTGTTTACATGGTTAAAATGAATTTGGATTAACAATAAGTACGTCACTCACTGGAAAATATTTATAATCACTATCATTAATCACTTTACAGTCCAAAATTATATTCATTTGACATTTGTTTTATTATTCTGTCCTCAATTCAACCACATAAAAATGCAAATTCTCTTGGTCTCGCTGATCGTTCAGTCGAATGTACCATACATCTTAACTTCTCATCTCTGCTCTTGCCGTTCACATCCTCTATGTGTTGTAACATCAAACGTTACACATAAAAGTCTCTCTGCTTCCCTGGAAAGAGTTTTAAAATGTGTTTCTCATTTCATGCTATTATCATATCACTGGACATGTCCACATGTAACTTTTGTTTGGAAGACTGTGGATTCAGAGAGTAAATGAGCCACAGAGTCGGTAATTTGAGCTCTAATCCCGCCGTAAGCCCTGATGGAGACTCAACTGTTTACTGGAAACATTTCCAAAGCCAGACATCATTCGAGGGAAGGAAAGTGAAGAAGATGTCGATTAAAATGACAGAATAATCCTAGAGTTCCTGTTTGCCTTGGCTTTGTTGGTTGCTATGACAATGGTGTGTGTGTGTGAGCGGGAGATAAATAGAGAGAGAGGAGCTGTAGAGATAGATGAAGAGAGTGAGTTTCTGGTGTAAAGGGGAAAGAAAATGTGGCGTTGAAAGTCACACAATCAAAGGTTTCTGTCTCTTGAGTGTGTGAGTTTTTGCTTATGTAGCGCTGTCAAAGTAGTAAAGGAAGGAAAAACTGATGAAAGGTTCCTGTCATGAATCTGCTATAGTTGGTTATCATAAAAGACTGCACCATTTTTAGATACAGTAAACAAGTGGGAGCCAAGCTGGTGTATTGTCTCACTGCGGTGTCAAACACAATCATGTGAACTATTGTATTCTTTTTTCATAGTATAGTTGATGAGGGTAATCAAAATGTTAAAGCATATATTTTAACTTCCATCAAAAATAAAGTTAAGCAAATAAAAAATAGAAAAATATACTTTTAGAATGCTTTTTCTAATTATACAAAGGAAATGTGAAATCCAAAAACTTCATTGAGACTACCAGAAATAAAGGATTTATGATTGAATTGCATCACTGCATTTGTCTGAAAAATTTCAAGAAATAGAAAATATGTATAATTTAAGGGGGCAGCTCTATTTTGCATTCATGTTTGAAGTAATGTTGGCTAAAGGAAATTTTCAAAACTAATTTAGCCAAATTTGGATCAAATACAGATGATTCAGTCCACTGGCAGTTAAACCCATTTCAAAGGAAGTGAGGTTTTAAGATTAAATATTACATTTTAAGAACTTCTGGATTGCAGTATATCCTCAGAGAGAACTTTCTGTAAAAGGCTCTGCTGCCTAAATGGAACACAAATGACTGGAGTTGCAGGATTGTAAAAATGAAGAAGTAATCTTTATAATGAAAGCAATGCGGTGGTTTTGAATTACTGCACACTAAATCATTTTTATGCAAAGAAGTAACTCCAGCTCCATCATCACAAAGCTGTGGATGAGCCCTGGGCTCAGACAAGGGCTTATGATTGCATCTTAATGGTTTTAGTGGGAATAGGGTGTCACAGAAAGTATTGGGAGATTAGTGATTAGAAAAATGTCTCCTCTGACCCGTAGGTTTGGAGCGAGCTGCTAATGTGTTCTTAGGAGCGAACCGGAATTCTCTCAGTCCAATTTAAATGGATGTTCTGTCAAACATGCCAGGGCTGAGGTGCTGGAAAATGGACACCTGCTAATGAAATAACTGTAAAACCCAATTGGAGTTGCCATGGTCAAATGTGTGTGTGTGTGTGCGCTATTAAACCCATTATGATGCAATTACCCATGTGTGTGTATGTTACAGTTTGTGGGTGTGTGGTTCTACACAAAGTTTCCCAGTGTTTTCCAGAGCCGGCCTGTTGGCTGTTGCCTGTTTGAATAGAGGCCCCCCCCCTGCAGCGGCTGTGATTTATCAACCAGCCTGCCCCAATCTGCTCCTTGCGGGGCTTCCACGCCCTCCACAAACCTCCTAAACCCACGAGGCCATTCAGCTCTCAGGCAACAGGGTCGTACTGTGGTTAACCATCACGCTTTAAAACAAATATCATAATGATCCATGCTGTGGCTGCTACAGAGGCGGTGGATTTGGATTAGAACCATATTACAACTGGCCGCATTGCAGTACCAGAACCACTCTGCTCAGTGTCTGACCCCTGGCCCAAGCCTCAGACTTGCCACCTAAGCTGAGCCAAGAGCTGCTGCCCTAGCTGTAAACTATCTACTGTACAAACAATGTAGGGCAGATACTGAGATGCAAGTCTGATCAACCTCCACTCCAGTGTCAAATTCCCATCCATAACCTAATTTTAACCTTTGTGAAAACCTGGTTTGAACCTTAGCTTTCCCAAAACCAGTGTCCTGTGATCTCAAGGAACTATGCCAAATCATTCACCATTCAAAACATGTTCTAACAATTACTAGAAGTGTTTAACTTTCTCAAGAAGGTCCATTGATAGCAAGAACGGTTTACCCGAAAGTATTACAGACTGTACCGCTCTGGCACACTGTACTGTGCACCCACACATGGACACAATGAAGCAGCATAATGAAACCATCCATCTTCTTGACACTCAAGGCTAGCATACAGAAGGAGCTTACTGTCTTATAAATCTTTCTCATAACCCCAGCCAGTTTGGTCTGTGCCGTTATTAGGACCCAGATAAAATGCACCATGCTCTCTTTCTCACCCTCTTTCTCTTTGTTTTTTCGTGTTGAGCATGGAGGTCCAACTGAGAGACTTGGCAGGAGATGTAAGGGAGATGAGACAAAGACATGCAGTGGCGGAAAAGGAGATGAAGCGTTTTGAAGTTGTCTTGAGAACCTCCCAAGCATCCCACTCGGGAGCAGACTCCATTTAACCTATAAAACTGGAGACCTCAAGTTCACTTGATTAAGGATCAGCCAGCACACAGAGAAGGCAGTGATGCTTACACAGATTTGCTTTGTGTCAACCAAACCCAAGAACACCATAGTTTTCTTGACTGTGCATGTATGTGTGTATGAGAGAGAGAGATGGAATGAGAGACCAAACTCATAAATAGCATTTATATGTTTAAGTGAGTTTATGTGTTTTACATCTGTGTGTGTGTGTGTGTGTGTGAGATACTGTTGACTAAATCCATAGGTAGCATGCATATATTTGAATTGATTTGTGTGCATGTATTTGAATGTGTGTGAGTATGTTTAAGCTATTTGTAATAACATGTTTTTGTGCATTTCTCTGCACGTGATTGTGTAGACCAAACCCAAGATGAAATGGGGGGTTTGTGTGTGTGTTTGTTTCATATATTCATATGCCTGCAGGTCTGTGAGTGAGTGTGAGATAGCAACGAGCACTCAGTGTTCGGCCAAGGACAACAAGAAGTTCCTTTTGGACAGAGGGGCCAGTCATGAATCAGGTGTGATACCTGCACCCAGCATCAGCAGAACGCCAAACCAAACACACGCAAAAGTGGAGCTGTGCTCCAGCTCAACTTCTCTCTGTGTGGAAGTAATTACTGAGGTGTTGAAGTTGTCACTTTTTCTTTGCTGTTAAAAACACATTAATTTGAATGCTCGCACAGAAACACTATTTCACCGAAGACGTTGACCTCTAAACAGGCTCTGTAGATTTACCAGCTCACCTTTGTGAAGCACTTAAATGTGCATGTACTTGTTTGGCCAATAATGATCACACCAACTCTTTCCAGTTCAGACGACTTCTCCGCATAAGGTTTTGATTTTCTGTTCGTTGTTATATTCTGGTCTCACTTCTGCCATCTGACTGCTGTTCAGCTTCATGAGAGGGTATGACAGTTTCTCAAAATGTAATGAATTAGCTAAAACATTCAGCAAACAAGTTAAAATGAATAATTTTCCTCATATTTTCCAGTCCGCATTGGAGCACTCGCAGCTGTTAAATGCAGCCAAATGCAGTCATGAGAATGAACTCACCATGTTTTTGAAGAGGTTAATTATTCCCAAAGAATCATGACACAAACAAAGATGGCTTCTGGAAATGACAGGTGCTTGTACCCGCTTGGTGACCACAGTTACAGGCAGCTGAGTCAGAAAAACTGTTCACATCAGCCTCCTAGTTGTAATTCCAAGATATTGGGAATTACTCATAGCAATAATATTTCCCACTTGACGAAAAGATCTACACAGGTCAACATTGTGAAAGGCACCATTGCTGGCAACTTCTTCTAAATAAAATCTAATTCTGCTAATTTAAAATGATATATTCTGTATTTGTATACAGTATTTGTTTGAACCTGCATTCACTTGTTAATGTGACTACAATGCAAGCAGTGGGGGTAACCATCTTAGAAAAATGCATGAATGCTCCTGAAAAATAAAACCTGAAGGTTTTCGTATCCCAATGCATGAATGGCATTACTCATCCAGTTGCCATCTTTGTTTAGGTCAAGGAATTATGTTATATCGTTCTTGTGAAACAGATTAGAAACACTTGTTTGTTGTAAATTGAGGGAATATTGTTATACAGGCAGCAGAAAGGAGTCTTTGAAGGTCACGGGATATCTTCAAAAACAGCTTTGTTAAATGACCTGACAAGACTGTTCAAGTTTTCAACTCATTTTTGTTTGGCAAAAACAGTGGCTTATTTCTGTGACTCCAGTGCAATCAGCACTGCATATGCATTTAAAACTGTAAAAATGATGAGTGCCTATACATTTGTATTTGAAAATTTTTACACATTCACTGCATTAAATAATGTGGTTCCAAACCAGGTGCCATTTGTTTCACTTAGAGCATTTTAGAATGATGTACTGCATTCACTTATTTTCCTAATAGATGCAGCGAGTAAGTTCATACATGAGCATGTAATGATGTTAAAGTAATCCAATCCATCCATGTTTTACTGCACCTACTAGAGCTGTGATTTCATAAAGTCAGAACTGATTTGCAACTGGATTTGTCTCCAGATGGTGTTTCCATGGTTGTGTGTCTGCAGGCAAACCGATTAATGTCTGTACCTGAGACCTATCTGACAGTTATGGGTTCAAAGCTGATGTGAACTGCTGGGTTTACAGCATAGGGCAGCACCAGCTGGGCGTGACCCACACTGGGGCTGAATAGGTCTGGACAGGCAGTTCTACTGTCCCCATCAGGGGTGGCCAAGCAGACACGGCCATTTTACAGGAGAAGAGGTAAGTGTTAGGTTTCAGTGTCACACAGGGGTAACTCTTGTAACTACACTCTTCAACCCCTGCCCTCCTCACCCTGCTTCCCTCATCACCAGTATCCATTATGTCCCAATATATGCCTCACTCCCTTTCCCTCCCCTGTTGAGGTCTAGCTACCATCATGGCCCAGTGCGCTCACAGACCGTTCGTACTCTGTTTCACTGCTGTAAATGTCACTTGAGTTACACTCGCTCTGCTTTCCACAGACGGCCCTTTATTTGCTACCCTTTTAAAAAAGACCCCCGCTCACATTTTGTGTTTTCTCATTTTCACTACGTGCCAGAGAACCCTTTTCTTCCCGTTTCACTTAGCCATACGATAACAGTCATAATTTTTCTGCGAAGACCAGAATTTCTGTCCCCGCATCATATTTTTGTTTTCTATGTTTCTACTCAAAGCTTTGGTGCTGTCTGTATCTATATAAATAAACTCGACAGCTAGGGTGAGTGTTCACATGTGCGTCTGAGGTTTTCCGCAAATCTAAATTTAAGCTAACCGCTAGTTTACAGCTCTTTGATGAAGCAAAGCAAGCATTAAACAAGTCTTGCCACTTATAAGACAGTTTAGACAAGTCCACTCATAATGGCATGCAGTTGCGACACTGAATGGCGCAGAAAGAAACCTTTTTAATACTAGAGTGAACATAATCATTCCTCAAGTCATGTGACATTTTACAGTTGTGTCATATGCCAAGTTGATGTTGTTCTATGCACGGTTCATGCTGGAGAGTGCACTTCCTTGTGTATCGTATAACATAAAATGCTCATTTGTCAAGTGTAAACATATTTCATATTTAACATTACAGTATGTGTTCAGTATGATTCTGGGCACAAGTCTGTGATATCATTTAGCACTTACGTTTTTGGATTTTTGACCGAACATACATTCACACTCCTTCCATGATGCAAGGCCCCTATTCGGTGGAGGCTTTGAGAGAGGCCTGGTCTGAAAGTGATGACAGCATGATTAATGCCCACCTCCGTTCCCACTCACACACTAACTTCACACAGCAAGTGGCTTGAAGAAAAGCTAAAGAAAGCTGCCTGCAGGGCCAATAAAAAGTAGCCAGTGTTCATTTAAAGATAAGACCATGTTTGATAAGATACAGTTGGACATTGGCTGGAATTCTGAACTTGAAAATGTACGAAGTTTGGTTACCTTTATTATTTCAAATGTTATTAATGTGGCGTTCAGTCTTTAACAAATATATATTAATAAAGTGGTTTAATTTACTTTTCTGATGTACCCACTATTCCTCAATCAGACACGTTTACTCAAGTTAGAGATTTCCAATACCTTAGCTTTAATTATTAATTTCCTACTGTCCATTGGTATCAGTGTATCTTGCTGTAAAGTCACACATAAGACAAGCAAAAAAGGGAGTATGCATATGAAGATAATGTTAATGTGATCATTAATCATGCATAGCTTAAGTTAAAATATTTACTACGATAGATGACAGAATCATTTTCACCCGAGAAAGGGTAGATACGAATCTGCACAACTGATAACAGAAGCTGAAATTTGAAGTAGATAAAACATTTCCTCTACACCCTGTGCTGTAAATATCTCACATTGACATATCATCCACACCATCAGTGAACAGAAAAGTACGTCAGGCATGATCCTGTTTCACCAAAAATAAATTTACTCTAAAACACTTTGTGGCTGATTCATCCCTCAACAGTCAAAGTGAGTTGCTGAAGAGATGCAGTGATGTGAGCTCCTTCTGAAACCACCTTTGTTCCCCTTACCACCTTCATTAATCTTCTATAGGCATTTATAAAGGAGCCTGTGTGGAGAATGAAGAGGTTGTTTGAATCCAATGCATGCCAGGGGCCAAATGGTAAGTCAGAGTAAGAGGAAACTCAGGTTGGCACGCCGATTCCATGCCAGTCACTGCCAATACAAGCTATCAGGCCACATAGACAAGCCCCTTGATGAACTGCTCCATACTGCCAGAGTATCTCCGGACTGCCAAGTCTTATGGCAAACTGAGGATAGCTTAATGGAAACCATGGATTAAAACTGCACCTCTGTGTTTTTCTTTCTCCATTTATAAATTTTATGTGATCATGATATATGAAATCCCATATAATTTAGCTCAAGTGTCAGCAACACACCTATTAGAGCCCTCCAAAGCTCAAATATGTAATAAGTTTTATCATGGGAAACGGGTGTTTTCCTTTGGTTTTACAACCATGTTATTAATTATATTACAAAATTAGCATTTTTCCCTTGATATTTTTACATCGTCTATTAATAATTTATGTCACAATTTATGTTACACACTCTTAATTTGTAATCCATCATATTCATTTTCAAAATCACTTAAAATGTACCTCAGGTACCCATGAAGTATTGCTCATCTGTACCAATGCAAACACATATTTGTAAGTGACGTTCAATGTGCCTCACACAAAGAGCTTGTCAAAGCAAGACGAGCAGTATGGCTTCCCTTTCTGCTCCTTAAAAATGCCTTGGCTGAGCTGCCGCAGACAGAAGGCACACACAAAGTGCTCAGGGTGAAACTTGCGATCGAGAGCAGAGATGCAGCGGCCCGTGATGGGCTCACCACAGCCACCACAGAGGGTGCCCTGCCGAGAGTGGAAGTGAATGGAGCAGAGGGGTCGACCATCCAACTCCATGAAACAGCCATCAGTGAAGGGCTTCAGGCAGTCCTGGATATAAGAACAGAACAGAAACATAGAAAAAGTGATATGGGAAAAGGTGGAAGAGAGGAGGGAGGATAAAGAGAGACAGAAAAAACCCTTTATGGTGTGTTCAAGGACATGGTTACATTAGATATTTGATCAGCAGCAAAAGCAAAAGCATTCTCAAGCTATCTTGCTGCTAAATCAAATATATAAGATGAGCAAAAAGGGAACATGAATTTTCATTAAAAGGGATAATGTGAAATGTATAGCTTCATGCATTCAGTGGCTGCTGTTTGGCAGCTGACTGAAATACTGGATGCCGGAGTTTCTTTGTTTTACTAATAAGGGAAACTTTGAATGTAAATTAGACCATGCTCATAATTGTATTACCATTCAATGATAATGTATGATAACTGATGGATTAACTCCATCCTAAATTTCAAATGTCTATAATTTGATAATCTGCAGAAATGGAAGGTATCTATAACCCTGTGGTATGCTCTGCAAAATGGTCAACTGTAATGTAAAGTATAGCGACATTACCTGCAAAGTCACTGACATAGAACTTTGATATGTTATGAAGAGAATGATAAAACAGGTACAGCTGTGTTCCAGTTAACAACCCATTAACAAGATTAGAAGTCTACAGCCATGCTATCGGGTCTGTAAGGCAGTACTTGAGACAAATGCTCACATCAGCCTGCTGACATGCTCACAGGCATGGTGATGTTCTAATGGTTTAATGTTCACGGTGTTGGTTTAGCACTAAACTCACAGTACATCCGAGGTTGATGGTATTGCTGTGACTTCTGCAGGTATTTGGCCATTAACCAAAGTGTTGGACAAATTTAAATGATGGCCAGATGATGGCACTAGATGAAAAGTCAGGAGATCGGAGTTATTCCAAATCATCCTCTGGGGACGATGAATGTGTACACCAAATTAAACAGCAAACCAAGTAATAATTGTTACGATATTTCAATAAAGAACTGAAACGTCAACCTTGTGGTATTAGAGGCCACCCCTCTGTATGAGATGCTTTGTAGTCTCGATGTCATTGATTACAATTATGAAACGTACAACTTGTCGGGTATTATCCCTTTCTGTGGAACCTTAACTAAATGGTTCTGTACAGGGGGGATACTGCCAATTGTTGTGTATAGACATTTCTCCTGGCAGACATTTTGAATTGTCATAGCAGTAAAAGCACAGGTTTAAACCTTAACATTAGCAATGAGTCTTCCCATTTAAGTGTGCCAGAATGCACAACACCAAGGCCTTGGTACAGGACATTAGTAACACCTGTGTTTAACAAGTAAAAATCTCCACTGTGGGAAAGGTCTGTTTTACTCAGTGTTGGTAACAACTGTTTCTTAAACATTATGTAGTGAAAGGTTTGATGGTTTTAGAACATTCTCATGCAGACTACAATCAAATCGAAGTCAAAAGTCTCTAATAATTGAATATACCACTGCAGTCTGCAAAAAAATCTGAGCAATGACTATGCTTCCAGAGGAACCCTTTAACTTTTTGGGAGTTTTGTAATTTTGTAGCACAATTTCATGGTTTGGAAATGTCTCTCCTGCTGACGAGACCCGGCTGCAGCACAGCAGGGTGAGAGTGGCCAGAAAGATCAAAAGGTGCCAAATTTGATGAATTAGTCATTTATTTTTAGCAGGAGGTTGATTAAAAAGGCTCGGTCACTTTTGAGTGTCCACTTCATCCCCTTAATGAAGTGTTTGGCCTCCTGCCCTCTGGAGTTAGATTTAGGTTCCCAAGGGCAGGAAAAATTCTGACCTTGCTGATAATGGCAGCTCCGTGTAAAACAATGTTTAGGTTCTGTGGTAATGGTGAATTGCTAGTTGTGATGGTGATGATATAACTGCAGTAATGATTAGGTTAGATGGTCAAAGCTGGATGTATTCTGTGTTTTATGTGATGTTGTCAATCTTAATTGTGTCATTTTGAGAGGTAGGTTTTACGAGCAGTGTAATTTATGTATTTCATGTTCCAGTTTATGAGCTTTATATTTTCAGTCAAGAATAATTTTCTTGAGGGACTGTAAAATGTGAAAAGTTGAAGCTGCTACCTTATGACAGAGCATCTGTACTTAGCTTCTAGCATTTTATGTTTAACAATTGCTCATAGCTGAGTAAAGCTGAAGTAGAGCTGCACACTGAACCGTTTTTGACCAGATGCTGCATACACAAGTAGGTTTGAAGAGAATGTAAAAGATACCCGCGCTGACGAATATGGTTTCCTTGATTTATTTGCATCATTTCAACCGCAACGTATTCATCAGGCATAAGGTTTTCATCAGCCTTGTGGTCAAAATGTTGCAAATAAAGCAAATGTGTGGGTATCTTATATTTATTCCCAGGCTTGTGTGTGAGCCAGAGCAGTGTGTGTGGTCTGAGGTAAGAGGCTCACTGCGCAGACGAAGCACTCTGGATGCCAGGTGCCATTGGCCGCAGTCAGGTAGTTCTCCCTCACTGACTCCCCACAGCCTGAGCACTTGGGAGCAAAGAGGTGGTAGAAGTCCCTGCAACAATATGGCTTCCCGTCCTTTTCAAGGAAACCTGGGACAGGTATAAGACACATAAGATTAATTTGGAGTGATTTATAGATTAAAAAAAATTCAAACTGTTTGTTAAGTTTGCTGTTTCTGGTGAAGAAAAATTACTGCACAAGCCTGTCACCTTCAGGTCCAAACAGGCCTCCACAGTGTGTACAGAAGAAGTGTTCGGGGTGCCAGGTCTGGTCCAGAGCTGTCAGGATGTTCTGGTAAACCAGCCACACAGAGAAATATTACATCATGCATTTACTTCCCTGAAGGATTAGTATGGTCTGTCTCATCTCACATGTTCAGATGTCAGAAAGCACACAAATGAGGATTGTGAACCACACAAAATGAATCATGGGAGAAGTTGTATTAGTTTCTGATAAATGACTTTGGTCTGCAGCATAAGCCCAGACTGCAGAATCCCAATATGGTTTTGTGCTGTATTTATTAAGATGACATATGGGATACGATTAGAAAAATGAACTACATACTACTGTATTTCAGCATCCAATCTTCAAAAGATTATTGTGTAAATACATGGTTGTAATATATGACAGAACCAATATCAATCCAGTATGAATCATGAATGTGTGCATTAAGGGTATGTAGGAGTTCTGAATTGTTAAAAAAAAAAAAAAAAAAAATTGATTATATATATATATATATATATATATAATAAATAATCAATCACACGGTGAACAACAAAGACTTAGCTTTCTCACCTGCACAATGGGCCCCTTGCAATAGGCACAACGAGGAGAGAAGAGCTGTTGGTAGTCTTTGTCACAGTACGGCTGTCCGTCTCTCTCAAAGAAGCCTGTGGTGCTCAGCTCCATCTTACATGCCACACACACAAAGTGTTCAGGGTGCCACACTTCACCCAGTGCTGTGATCATCTACAATATATAGAAAAAATTATGTGGTATAATTTCCACAACTTTTTTGTCTGTGGGTTCAGATATAATATGCTTGCCTAATTGTTTATGTGACTTATTGTACCTTTCCCACAATGCATTTGTTGCAAGAAGCACAGTGGCCCTTGGCCGTGGTGTGTACGCCAATCTTCTCCAAGTCAGAGCTCAGCCCTCCTAGCAGGGCATCTATAGTATCTGTTTTCCTACTTGTGGTCGAGGCCTTTGCATCTGAACCTGCTGTGCTGCTGCTGCTCTCCATGTTCTCCTGTTGACCACCTTCTGTTGTCCTTTTCACAGACTTCTTAAGTGTAAGTGGTGGAGGGGTCGTTGAAGACCCTGGATCCTGAGTGATGATACAAATAAGCACATATGTATTGTTTTTACCTATAGATTTGTTAAATGCATTTAAGCTTCTACAGGTGAAACTCGAAAAATTAGCATATTGCGCAAAAGTTCATTTATTTCAGTAATTCTAATGAAAAGGTGAAACTAATATATTATATAGACTCATTACATGCAAAGAGAGATATTTCAAGCCTTTATTTGATATAATTTTGATAATTATTGCGTACAGCTTATGAAAACCCCACATTCAAAATCTCAGAAAATTTGAATATTACGTGAAATTAATTTTTTAAGGATTTTAAATACAGAAATGTCAGCCCTCTGAAAAGAATAATCATGCATATGTACTCGTAGTACTGGGTTTGGGCCCCTTTTACATGAATGTCTGCCTCAGTGCGGCATGGCATGGATGCTGTCAGCCTGTGGCACTCCTGAGGTGTTACGGAAGACAAGGATGCTTCAATAGCGGCCTCCAGCTCTTCTGCATTGTTCGGTCTCATGTCTTTCATCTTTCTCTTGGCAATGCCCCATAGATTCTCTATGGGGTTCAGGTCAGGAGAGTTTGCTGGCCAATCAAGCACAGTAATCCCATGGTCATTGAACCAGGTTTTGGTACTTTTGGCAGTGTGGGCAGGTGCCAAGTCCTGCTGGAAAATGAAGTCAGCATCTCCATAAAGCTCGTCTGCTGAAGGAAGCATAAAGTGCTCTAAAATGTCCTGGTAGACGGCTGCGCTGACTCTGGACTTAATAAAGCACAGTGGACCAACACCAGCAGATGACATGGCTCCCCAACCCAACACAGACTGTAGAAACTTCACACTGGACTTCAAGCATCTTGGATTTTGTGCCTCTCCATTCTTCCTCCAGACTCTGGGACCTTGGTTTCCAAATGAGATGCAAAATTTGCTCTCATCAGAAAAGAGGACTTTGGACCACTGAGAAACAGATCAGTTCTTTTTTTCTTTAGCCCAGGTAAGATGCTTCTGACGTTGTTTGTTGTTCAGGAGCGGCTTGACAAGAGGAATACAACATTTGAAGCCCATGTCCAGGACCCGTCTGTGTGTGGTGGCTCTTGATGCAGTAACTCCAACCTCAGTCCACTCTTTGTAAAGCTCCCCCACACATTTGAATGGCTTTTACCTGACAATCCTCTCCCGGCTACCGTCATCCCTGCTGCTTGTGCACATTTTTTCTCCCACACTTTTCCCTTCCAATTAACTTTCTATTAATGTGCCTTGATACAGCACTTTGAGAACATCCAACTTCTTTAGCAATTACCTTTTGAGGCTTTCCCTCCTTGGGTGTCAATGATGGTTTTCTGTCAGGTCAGCAGTCTTCCCCATGATTGTGAATTCCACTGAACCAGACTGAGAGACTAATTAAAGGCTCAGGAACCCTTTGCAGGTGTTTTGGATTAATTAGCTGATTAGAGTGTGACACTTTGAGCCTACAATACTGAACCTTTTCACAATATTCTAATTTTCTGAGATTTTGATATGCAATAATCATCAAAATTATATCAAATAAAGGCTTGAAATATCTCACTTTGCATGTAATGAGTCTATATAATATATTAGTTTCACCCTTTAAGTTGAATTACTCAAATAAATGAACATTTGCACGATATGCTGATTTTTTGAGTTTCACCTGTATTTCTACTACTTGAGGCTGTGCAGTGTTGACATCAGTACAATGCTGCCCTCTGTTGTTAAACCTGGTTACTTTCGCTCATGTTTGGAAAGTTTACTGCACATCCGCTGTTCTCACTTACCAAAAAAAAAACTATAGAGTATGTATGTGCTGTGAACAATTCTTTAGCATGATGTAAAAGACACTGTACTGACCCCTTCTGCCAGACCCATCAGATCCTGCAAGATGGAGTCCAGCTCCCTAGTGGGCGAGCTGGGGTTCGGGGAAGCTGCCACAGGAGCTGGCAGATCACTAAAACCCAAAGAGGAGCAAATTAGAAATTTAGAAAGCATGACATCTCAACTTTTCAAATAAACCTCCAAAAACACTAACTACCCCACGATTACTGTACAAATTCACATTGGGGGAAAACTGCAGGGTAATGTAACGTGGAATTAGGAACTACATGAGGACTACTTCTGATCTGATGTTACTTGCAATATTTCTGGGGTGAACACTGTCAAAAATTCCTAAGTCAGTAAAATTGTTGTGTACATTCAGATGCTTTAAAAGCAGCAGACTTTATGATAATAAACATTATCTTTATCATACTATATCATATCATCAAAAAATATATACTTAATAACACAGTGTGCGGTGAATTTCAAGCAATTTCCTGTTTCCTCAACATGATAATGTGAATCAGGGGTCAACAGGATCCTCAAGCTTGTGCTTCACCTGTAGACATTTGAGCAGACTGTGCCTTTTTCTTTTTTGGTTTCAAGTCCAGCATAAACCACACCTGGCACCTGCGGACACGTAACCAAAATATACTGGTCAGATTACAAATAAATCTGATCATATGATTTGTGGAAAAACATTTTGTTAAGTTTCTAGGTACAGATGTTAACTTAATAAATTTCAGGTTTGACTACAACTGAAGTAGGTGATAATTAAGAAAGTCATGGTACAGTCAGTGTAAGTTTGCAATATGTGTATGGCTTTGTCTTCACCCCTCCAACTGCTGGATCGTTGCTCCTGTTCTCATCAACACTTTCTGAACCAGCTGAATTCAGGGCCAGCTCTTCCAACAGCAAATCTGTGGCAGGAGACACAAAATAGATCTTCTACCCACACATATGAACATGCATACATATGCAGGCATGCATGCATAGACAGTATTCATGCAATACGAGCACTAAAACACATTGAGTGTATTTTCTGGGCATTTACTGTTAAACCAGAGGATGTGTTGGTACTAGAGAAATATTGTGAAGTGAGATACAGTGCATCTCAATTTACAGATCAAGGTGCTGGCTGATCAGTTTGAGGTTGCATCAGTCAGCTTCCTCAGGAAGTGACGGCTGACATGTTGCAGAAGTGAAACTCATAATAATGTTGCAAGACTCTGGTGACAAATATTACACAGTATTCAACTCTCTTCTCCACACAATGAATTCTTGGACTTAGCATCTAAGAAAATGGGAAGATATTTGTATGAACAAAGTCTTTTTGGGGAAGTAGACAACATAGCTGTGACCATGTTCAACTTTTAGCACTGTTTGACAATTGATCAGTCTTTCTCACCATCCTCATTTATTTTTTATTTTTAGTTTTTAGAAGAGTGAAATTAAATCAAATTCTTATATTTTTGCAAGACATTGTATGTTTTGATGATGAGTGAAACCCAATCTTTTATTTGATTCTATGTATTTATTTGACTCTGTTGAGATTGTAACATCTCTTTTTGACTTCATAAAATAGCAGCGTAGTTTACAAACAACAAACAGCACACTTGAAATTACAGTGCAAAACAAAAGACACAGTAACAACATAATGTTTTAAATAGGAGTTATTCAAATAATTACACCATGAACTGCTGTTAAAAGTATATTATATTGTCTATGGCATACTGTAATTCACAGAATAGGCCTCCATACTGTAAAGCCCTGTCATCTTTTCCTGTGGTAAACTCTTCCTTTCACTTCTATATTCTACTTCAACTGTAAATCATGGCACCTTGCACTGAATGTTTTAGAATTACAACAATCATTCCATATCTAACAATCTGTCCACTGATAAATCTGAGGACAATCAGCAACATATAACATGACAGTTATTACTTACCGAGCTCTTCCATGCCGTCTCCTGCTCTCACTACTTGATTGTGAGTGTGTGTTTCTTGCAGCCGGTTAGTTACTAAGGTAACAGCCCAATTTCTCATCTGGTCAAAACCGTCATTTCCTCTGACAAAGGTTTGTTTTCATTTGTTACTGAATCAAGACCTATCCATGTTTAGTATGAGATGTTGCCGTTTCCTAGCAAAGAGGAAACCATAAACAGTTTCTGAACAGTGTAAGGTAAGATAACAACTGTGCCCGGTTGCTAAAAAACCTATGTTGCGTTTTTCTGCTGTAGATGAAGGTTGAGTTAACTGTAACTCCTTTATATAATGTTGAGTAGTTTCATCTACACCAATGCATCATATTATATAATATCTTTGCAGTGTCCTGTGAGAACCATGTTATGTAACATCTTATGGGGGGGGTTAAATAGTTAATTTAGTTTAAGAAATAGGACAATTTTCTCATCCGATAAAGCAACCTTTTATGTGGCAATTCAATGTGCTTTACGAAAGTGGAAAAGTAGAATAAAAATAAAATAAAAATAAATAAATAATATTATATATATATATATATATATAATGTATAAAAATAGATGAAAAGTAGAAAAGATATACAATTTCAGTGCTTTTAGTGTCTCTTCACCACTCTGTCACACACACACACACACACACACACACACACACACCTGGCACAGATGGTCACTGTGTCAGTGTTTATATATAATATTTTATTGATAACTTCAATACACACACATCCAACCCAAACAAAACAATTGAATGTAGCAATGTGTTGAGATTTAACATTTCCAGGTAATATGAATATGTATACAATAACTCATTTAGATTATCTAAAGTCTAGTAAGAAAGAGCAGCCCATGCTGGTGCTTCATGTAACCTAACCCCATTTTCAAAAGCAGATAGGCCTACATCAAGACAGAAACTGATAGTTTTGTTACTTGAAGAAACCAGAAACAATCATGCTTCAGATGATGTCCTTTCATTTGTAATATTGCACTGGTGTTCACATATTGGGTGGGGATACGATTCTTGGCCACAGCATGTATTGCAACCGGCATTATAATACAGAAGAATTATAAGAACTGTCCCTTTAATCAACACACGAGCTTCTTGATACTGTGCCACAATTGTCACCTGCCGTGTAGCTGACTTCACGGTTCCTAAATAGCTTCCTATCTTTGTCATAGCCTACAGGTGGCCCCAACAGAGACAGAGGCACTACAGACTTATTTCTCAAGCCCAAAGCAGCACAGACACAGACTTTTAAAAGTTTATTTCATTTCTAGGTTGAAATAGTTGCCATATGGTAGACACCTCTCTACCTGCGTTGTCTCGCACCACTTTGGTTGCAACCATCAGCTTTCAGAGCAGGGGTATTTGTGGTTTTGTAAGATTATAAAACATAAACTAAAGCTCATTCATGCAGCAGCACATGCTTACATGACGGGAAGCTCGTGACTGATTAAAATAGTTTTCAGTATAGTTTCAAACCCTAAGTGTGTAGGTCTTAGTTAGTTTTGTATCAGAGTAAAGTGACCTGCCCCCTGCCCTGTGGTTTCGTCCTTTACCGGAAGAGTCCGTGTTTACAGCGCAGCTTTCGCTCCACGTTAGCATCGTTGATTGAGGAGAAGTCACTAGGAATTTACCTTTGTGTTTTTGTCACAAACAGTTTCGACACTTCTTTTTGTAAAATCACGCTCTTAATTTTGCGCCACGTCGTCAATAGCATGATTGTTTGGAGGCGGAAGTGTTGCCGACAAGCATAGCAATGACAAGCTGGCTAACGTAGCGCCAAGGTTAGCCAGCTACTAACTATCAACACTAGCTAACTTCTCGCAGAGCATCGGGACATCCACTACGGTTAAACAGGTATCAGTATGTCAACTTCACTCTATGACGAGCGTTTATATTTGCTTGTTTAACGACTGACAGCCTCGCGTTGCCACAGGGGAATTCAGGTCGAAAGGACACAAGCGCGGCCATGGGTGCGGAGAACAGCGCGGTGCGGAGCTGCATCTTGGAGGAGCCACTCCTGACTCTGCCCTCCGGACTCACCATGTACTCGGCCATGCTCCAGGATGGAAAGCCTGCTTCCGTGTTCGTTCACAAGCGGGGGAATGAGGACAAAGTCAACCAAGCTGCCAAGGTAATTCGTCCTGATGCCACATCACACTGGCTTCCTTACAGCAGTATTTAGTTGTTGTTGTGAAGTGTCATAGATGTAAGTATATAATAATAAGACCTTTTACTGTAGTGAAGCAACATCTGTCAGAAAAGAACATTTACACTGCAAACAAAGAACTTCATCACCTCTTCTAATCTGCCACAAAAGGTCAATTTGACTGCAGCCTCGTCTGTGCAGTCATTCTGCAAGCCCAGACCAACCACCAATCACCATGAAATTAATGATTATTCTCGCATGCAGTTAAAGATCTCTACACTTCTATAGAGCCAGTGCCACCAATGTAAGTCTTTATGCTTTCCACTGACAGCAGTCTGGATGTGACTGAAATAGCTCATTAGTGTTGGCACTCAGGCTGCATAATGAGTCCCTACTCATTGATTTCCCATCAGCTGCATGACCTCCACTCCTTATAGGAAATAATGAAATACTTTAACTTCCTCCAGCACCTGAAGACCTTAAGGCACCCGTGTCTGCTGCGCTTCCTGTCCTGCTCAGTGCAGGACGGTGGCATCCACCTGGTGACGGAGTGCGTGCAGCCCCTGGAGCTGCTACTGGACAGCCTCTCCCCGGAGGAAATCTGCGCAGGCATATACGACCTCCTGCAGGCGCTTGTGTTTCTGCACGACAGGGTGAGCCCCCCCAAAAAAAAGAAGCAAGGAGGAGTTTCTCTGGATGCAAGCGGCCCAATGCACAATTTCTTTAAGGCATTAGATTAATGAATGAGATAAATGAAAACTAGTTGGCCTGAAGTCATCATTATAATTAATACTGAAGTGCTGTTTCATGTTTCAGAGTAGTCACAGGCCATTTAGTGTCTGTCGGTCCTTTTGTCTGTGTTAAACAGGCATAGTTAAGTTCATAACCTGACTTCCTTTACCACCAGGGCAAATCAAGCCACAACAATGTCTGCATTTCATCTGTATTTGTCAGTGAAGATGGTCATTGGAAACTGGGAGGGATGGAGACTGTCTGCAAATTCTCTGAAGCGACACCTGAGGTTAGTGACTGGATAATAGGTAGAATGTTCCCAATATGCAGTCTCTGTGTGTGTGTTTTGTTCTTGTTTTATTTCTTTAAAAACCCAACATTTGAAGAGTCGGGATCAGTTTTATGTTTTGATTTTCAATTATCTCCTCCTTCAACTCCTCAGTTTCTCACAAGCATTGATAACTTGAGAGAGGCCACCTGCGTTCCCCCAGAAGAGCTGGTAAGCAGATTAAAGGTTGCGTCAGAAAAATGGAAGAACTTCCCCATTTGTTCAGAAGTTCTCATGAAACATGTTGTTGACAGGTTGAGGGCTTTAAAATGCTTCCGGAGAAAAATGCTCACTCTCGGGACTGTTACTCTTTTGGAATCATGATGGAGACCCTCATCTCTCTCCTGAATGGCTATGGTGAGTAGAGTGATGGCTTTGTAATGTTTACAGCCGCGGTGCATTATCTTAAACTTGTTCATCCTTCTGTTGCCTGTGTTGTGTCCAGTGTCACAGGAGCTGTCTGACAGTCTGAAGAAGACCCTGCAGGCAGGCCTTCTGAACTCTGACCCCTTTTCTCGACCTCCACTCAGCTCCCTATTGACTCATGAGTTTTTCAGGTTGGTGTTGTTAGCTTTTGCTGATATCGGAACATGATATAAATGACTTGTTTTCAAACACAGTTTTTCTATGCATAGGAATGACTTCCTGGAAGTGATGAATTTTCTAAAGAGCCTGACCTTGAAGACGGAAGAAGAAAAGAATGAATTCTTTAAGTGAGAAACGATGTAGTCTTTCCTATCCGGTGTGCTCATTTGTAATGTGCTCATGCAAATATCCGTTTCATATGTTGTATTCCAAAGCAGTCCACATGTTCATGCTTTTATTTAAATATAATCTCTCAGAATTTTAAATCGCGTCGTTATACATTTTCTTAATTCAATTTATAATTTTAACTACACCTTATTTTTTATTAACATGCTCATTGTGTGTATGTTTGTGTAGGTTTCTTCTAGACCGGGTCCAGAGTCTCCCTGAAGAGCTGATCGCTGTACGTCTTGTCCCCAAACTCCTCAACTCTCTCGTTTTTGCAGAACCCATGGCTGTCAAAAGCTTCCTGCCTCATCTTCTAAGGCCAAAGAGGGGTAAGATGAATATCTTGCTGCTAAGAATAACTCAGATCTTTAACCCTCCTATCAACAAGGAAGAAACATACTGTGGTGTGAAACTGTAAGGGGCTGTTGCTAATGCTCCCCTTCTTTATTTTGTCTGTGTGGACAGATTCCAGTGGTGGTGTTAGTGGGGAAGAATGCCTGCTGTCTGTGTCCCTTTACCGGAAACATGTGATTCCTCAGCTTCTCAAACTCTTCAAGGTCAATGAGGAACACGTCCGGATCGTGTTGCTGGCTCACATCCACATTTACGCTGAGTTCTTCTCCCATGATGAACTCAAAAACCAGATCCTACCTCAGGTGGAGTGTTGACATAGTGCCAGTATTTTATTTCCGTTGAAATTAATGATGAACACTGAGTTAAGTCTAAAGCCATAGTCCAACATTTTGGGAAATTCGCTTAGCAAAGACGAAGAGATTTTATGAAGAAACCGCTGCCCTGGCTCAATATCTAAAAATTGATTTATGATACATGCAATTTCCAGAACCGGACCAGAGTGTGTGTGTGTGTGTGTGTGTGTGTGTGTGGTTTGATCTGTAAATGACATTTTGGGGGGGGGGGTAAAAGAGTTTGAAGGTAGACGTAAATGTCATTAAGCAAGTCTCTCTTAGTTACATAATATGTTTGTTTGTTTTGTCAGGTTTTGTTAGGAATGAGAGACACCAGTGATTCTCTGGTTGCCGTGACGCTGCAGAGTCTGGCGGTGTTGGTGCCCTTGCTGGGGGCTCAAGTGGTGGTTGGTGGAGAGAGAACCAAGGTCTTTAAACGCACCACACCCAACTTCACCAAGTCTACAGAGGTCACCCCTGAAAGTAAGCAACACTGACCTACTAATGACAATAACAATGAAAGCTGATCTGAATCAATAATGTTTTGCGTAAAACAGGTAGATTCAATTATGTATAGTGCAAACGTTTCATAATTTTATTTAGGGGCTGTATCAGAATAGGTTTATATGGTTTAACTAATAAAAAACACCATATTTTTGTCAAACTGCACATTGCTGCAGGACCACATTTCTCCTTGTGTGTTGAACACTCCGTTTTAGCTATGGAGTAAAGCATCTCACTTGGATTCAATCTTTGTTGGGGGTTGCACATGCGCAGTAACTAGTTAAGGACGACTAGCCAACCACAATCAGAGTAGGGCGGGTCCTGACAAGAAAGGTAGTATAATGCAAAACAAAGCGGCTTCCTCCGCAGCGCTTCAGATCAGTCACTCAGGTCAGGTTCGCAACCTAGGCTGGAGCAAAACATTTCAGAGTGGTACGTTATTCATTTGTAACAAATTTATTACGTTTTAGCCGTGCACGGATCATTGACTACCTGGAAGGTATCTAAAGTTCGTAGGGGAAGCAGTGGGCGGACGTCTTGTCACTGTGTGTGCTGCAGCTCAGTGTGTTTGTCCACCAGTGTTTTTGAGGGCATGACACACTAGCCGCAAGGAGAGCATTATGACTCGTGTGACAAAGTGATGCAGACGGGTTATGGAAATAAAAGCTGGACTACTATCAAGCTGTTTTGGGGGCGTTCATGAGCATTGTTTTCTGTGGGAGATGGTAACTCCCTTTAGGGTGGACTTTGGGCTTTTTCACTTTGCAAACCGATTACATGCACAAAAAGATATATAACTCAATAAAGGAGAGGGGGAAAAGCCAAAAAGCATATTATGATCTCTTTAACTATTTTTTTTGTAGCTGTGTATTGCACAAATAGTGCTTTAGTTTCAAGTTCATTAACTATTCAGTTAGTCAGAAGCCTACTAGTCTGAGGCCATGTTGAGCTCCAGCTTATAGGAATGAAAAAAATACAGCATTATAGTATGAGTAAAATGTTAAATTCAATTTGAAAATCATCAGGTAACCAGTACAGGGAGGGTCAGACTGAAATGACTGGACAGGAGGAACCCTCGCAGCAGTGTTTCAGATAAGCTCAAGGTGTGATGTTTTACAGGGCACTGGGATAGTCATACTGTCTCCATGTTTGTGTCAAATAATGTCTTGTGATTGGCCTCAAGATTCAAGTAACAGGTTTTCTGAGCGTGACAGTTCAAACTAGAAAATCTGGATTTAGAAGATTCAATGCCCCTACCTACTGTTGTACTCTTGAGCAGCCAAGTGTAAAAATTCCAGTGACAGCGAGCGTTGCTTAAAAGGATCTGCTGCTCAGCAAACTATTAATGATAAAGTTCCCAAAAAAAAACATTTGGTGGACACTAATCTTACTTTAACTCTATTGCTTAGCTTCACCTGTCCATATAGTTGGAGGCTCCCAACCTCAGATGGCCCAGCCTTCGAAAGTCTTGAATTTGTTCCCCAGACCAACAGGGACCGAAGGCCTGGTCCTGGGTCACATGGGTAGCTTGGCGGGTAGTAGGGAGACTCCAAGAAGTTACCCTCTGGCACCAAAATCAGGTATGATGACTCCCCTTCCCATTCTATTTACTCTTTACTCTATATTTTAATTCACAGTTTGACATTGTTGTGACTGAAACTGTCTGTCTGTTTTTAAAAAAAAAAAAAAAAAAACGTTTCAGATGTGAGTAGACAAATGTCTCTACCTTTGAACGGCTTTCGTCAGGAGGTGGAGCAGCAGTCATACAGCCCAGAGCAGGCTGACAGAAGAGAAGGCCCACCAGAAGACTGGCCTGACTGGAGCGACCCTGAAGAGAGTGAGAACGCAGATGGACAGTCAGTCCAGATCCACATCCAGGCCTCAGAGAGAGGGCATCCAGTCACTAGCAGAGTGCCCCTCTCCCACCCCGACATCGAAGAGGCACCGTGGGATGACTTTGAGGACACTGATCCTACCTCAGATCTCTCCCCTATGGCTCCTTTATCAGACCCAGTTATACTCACACTGCCCAGAGGGGACACTACTACACCTGTAAAACATGCTCCTGAAGCACCAAGACTGGGTTCCTCCAAACCCCTCAAACTGACATCAACACTGCGACAATCCACACAGAGCAAGACCAGTTCCTCATGGGACGATGGCTGGGCTCAAGAAGAGAGAGGCTTGGAGAACTCACACAGCCCATTAAACCCCAAGCCCACAGTGCTACAAAAGAACAGTGGGATAGGAGGTCTGGGGGAGGAGTTCACCATTAAGGTGAAGAAAAAGGCAAAGCAAGACCCGGAGCTGGATTTGTTCGCAGACATGGTGCCGGACATCAAACTGTCCTCTCCAGCTCTGCTGCTACTGGACGAGGGTAGCGTAGGTGATGCTGGACTGTCTGCAGCCTCTCCAGAAAACACATCTCTGCAGGTTGACTCGTCCATCGATACTGTAACACTCACCGCCAAGTTTGCAGCTGCCAATCTGACTGAGGTGAGTGTGTGTTGTGGGGTGTAGGGTTACCTTTTTGTTTTTGTTTTCCAACTTTGATTTCCTGGAATTTGGTTTGGATCAAGCTTTTAAGGTGTTCCTCAGTACTAGGCTTTCATACAGATTTACGGACACAGACAAGGATTGTTAGAACCAGAACCACTGCAAAAACACACTTAAACACATATGTGATCCCTCAATATGGGGCAGCGTCTGCTTGCAACCCTTTGTCACAGTGCTTTAAGCACAATGAAATTGCAACGTTTTTCTTCTGGTTTTTAGGAGCCACAAGGACAAACACAGGATGAAACATCTAAAAAAGATTCTTAATTTTGCGTAGTACAATATACCAAAAATAAATAAAATTATAATTAACAACGCATTAAACTATGAGCCAAAAATCTGATGTTTGAAATAAGTGTGTGCTCCCATGTTTCAAATCTATTGTCTTGTTAATGATTGCAGAGGCATCAATGAGAGAATTTTCTCTCCATTTACAAACTAACCTATCTGTGATGATTGTTCTTTGTTTGCATATCATTTCCTCTCCAAGACTGAAACCGATGGTTGGGGAGACGAAGGTGACCTGAACTGGGACGATGAGAATTCTTGGTGATGACGTTTGATCGGTCTGCTGCAAAAATCAAATCCTCACGATGCACCACCTCTGGAAGCACCATTTCAGACCGCCTGTAAGCTGAAAGTTGCTCCAGTTCTTATTTAACAGCATGATGCGTCATCAAGAATCATAACGACTTGTTCAGACTTTTTGTATTGTCTTATGTTGGTTCCTGGACATTTATCAGTCTGTTCATTAAGATAACATTCTTTTAAACTGGAGACTTGAAATGTGCAGGACTTGGACAAATGAAGGCATTCTTAATTGTTTGCCAACTGATACGAGTCACGTCGAGGGGAATGAGGATCTTTATCAGTGGTGAATGTCATCCTGGTTTCATCTGCTTCTCTAAATTTTCCTTTTATGTGCCAATTTCATCACTGGCATGAAGATCAAGGTGCACTTTTTGGCAAGGCGCACAACTTGTCCAAAATGTGTCAGGTTTGAATTACAGGCTTGCACTGAATGAATGTGAAATGGAAATTACATAATTTATTAGTAGCTTTTTGGTTGGTGGTCAAGTAAAGATTTTACTGTATAAAATACGACCCTGTTCTGTTTTATAAAACGTTTTATTAGATTTACCTTTTTTATTATTAGGTAATTGCAATGTTTAGGGCCGGCAGCAACTACTTACTTACTTGGACAAGCAGACAGAAAACACCCATCAATATCAAAACAGGTAGTTAGTGGAGGCTTGACTTACTGCTAAATTAAAACAAATGAACAATGATTTGTGCTCAAAGTTTAATAAACAATAACATCAAACAAAGAATGAGTAGGCAGGTTTAAAAAGTGAGGAGAAAACTTTCTGCAGCAGCAAAGAGTGTACAGACTTTCACAGGCCCAGGCTTGAGGGGGTGGGGGGAAAAAAAAAAAAAAAAACCTTCTATACATGAAGTCAGTAATCTGGAGCTGGAAAACAAATGGGAGCAGTTAAGTTGTGTGTCTGGCTGTACTGATGTGGGCTATGAGGGTCTGCAGTTCCTGTAGTCTGGATTCCAGCCAAGGTGGAGGTGGTGCAGTAGTGTTGGCTTTATCTGCCTCAGTAAGAGCCTGAAGGGCTTTCAAAGCACTCTCAGCTGTCTGCATGTAGCGGCTGTACTCCTCTGCACTGGTCTCCTGCCGAGCTCTCTTTGGGCATGGCTGAGAGGAGGAATAATGACTTCTTTATCTTTTTTCATGAATTAAATTTTCACTCACAAATGATCAAATTTTACATCAGACGAGACCAGCTCCGGGTCTTGCTTGTTCAAATTATATTTTGACTTGCAGAGCAGGCCAATATGTATAGTTTATTTTGAAAGTTATTTTGCTAAAGAAATGTACTATTTTACAGTGCTCATTATTTCTACGGGAAGTTTGGACTGAGCTACTAGATAAATTAGATATCAGGATTGCAAACACCTCTCTCATTCATATCTATCTATCTATCTATCTATCTATCTATCTATCTATCTATCGAGAGAGATGCATGCAATGGAAACTTCCAGTGGGCTTCCACCCAAAATGTCCCTTGTTAATTTTGAGCCAGGCACTTCAATCACATATCATCCCCCAGCCTCTCTTCAAGTGTTTTCTAGCGTTTTCAACTATCAACTAAAAATAATATAAACAATGATAAAATAATCAATAGCAGCCTGGTAAATATGATGTACACTGGTAGGTACTGTCACCGAGTTGCCACCTGAGTGACTTGGGCATTATAAATGTGAAGTAACACTGCATGCATATTCAGGATGCCTGTGAGTAAAGGTTTAATTTAACTTAACCACTAACCTCTGAATCTGTTTCAGGAGCTACTTTGTTAGAAGTATTTTCTTCATTGTTCTCCAGCCTCTCGTTATGTTGCTCAATAACTGCCATCTCCAGCTTGAGCCTCTGTAGCCGTGACTCCGCATCTTCCTGTGCATTCACAGTCTTCAACAGAACAGAGACTTATTTACATCCATCTGTTTTATCCAAGGTTGATCTTCATTGCAATATGTTGGCATCCCCTTACCTTGCTAAGATAGTTCACCACCTTCGTCTTGGTATCTTCTTCACACAAACTCTGGGAAATCACCTCTTCATGGTTTGTAATCTTAAATACCGAAAAACACATTACAAACGTTACATTTATGATAAGGCATGAACTCTTTAGGATTACATCTAGAACAGCTATTGAGTTTCTGCGTACCTCTGCAAAGTGAGAAAAGGCCTCCAGGGTGTGCTGATGCAGCAGCCAGGATCTGTCAGACAACAGGACTCTAAACAGGCTACTGAGCCTCGGCAGAATTTGACTCTATAGGACAAACAATATATCCACAATGTGAACTTCAGAATTGAGCAAATCCAGAATTTAAATATCTTACCTACAGTTTCAACTAATGATTATTACTGATTATTATATATAATAATATATATTATATTACTGATATCAATTATTCATTTAGTCTATAAAATGTCAAGAATAATGACACATTAAGATGCAAGTCATGTTTCAAACCGCATACTTGGCAACACAAAAGCATTAACGTCATGAATGTATTAGAGGTGCTCCGATCAGGATTTTTTGGCCCAATCACAGATTGCTGAAAGATATATTGGCCGATACCGATCACTCGTTCCATTTGAAGCTTTTTCTTTATCATGTATATCATGTAAACACTATACTGTATAATGATTTAATTAGTCCTAAAAACAAACAAACAACAAATAAATTTACTTTGCAACTATAAAAACTGCGACAAAAAAAGGCTGTAGCCAAGATATGTAGGAGATAAAGGAGCATTGGCATTCTGAGTCAATGATAAACTGAAATATCCGCTTTGGTTCTGAAAGCTCAGGCAGGTTCTGTGGGCTTTAGAGAGAGGGGGAGAGTGGGCCACAGAGGAATCATAACTGTCCTTGAGATTTGAATAAATAAAAGTACAATGTTAATTCCATATTATACTGTTAGTATATTGATAATATAACTATATACTTATAGTTACTATATTCATTATAATTGTGTATGGTTTACCACTAGTATAAGCCTAATATTATTTCAGTGGGTTGTTTTCATTTATTAAGTCCTTGTGCAAGAAGCACAGTCTACTGCCACCGGCTTTACCAGAGGAGAGAGTAGCAAACACTTTAAATACGGCCAGGAGCTTTTTATTTGATTTTATAAAGGTTAAAAATATGGCTGGGGAAACATTTAAACGGGAGAATCCAGGGGAAAACAGGAGGGTTGACATGAGAGGAGTGGGGTAATGTGACGCTACATCCACACTACTACGGTTTTTAAACAGTATTTTAAACAACGAATACGATCTTTTCCGTTCACAGCAGCGTTGTGGTTGGTATCAGAGTTGATCTCAGTCCATATTAAAACGACTGAAAAAGCACATCTAGTGGCCGTTCACGTACGTTGAACATGTGCGTGCCTGTGTAAACATGAAGCGGATGGTCTACACTGCAGTTGCAGAAGATTTGGCAAAAGAATAAAGTCATACAGATGAAGAACCACACCAGTTTTTTTTTGGCATTGACCAACAACAAGCTGGGACTGTTACTGAGTACATAGAATCTGTGGCGGTGGAAAACAGACTGGGAGTCGTCACAAAGTAAATACAGCGACGTGTACAGCACAAGTGCTTTTTACACAGTACAAAATATTTTCATAAAAATAACGAAACTAAAACTGTCAGTAGCATTGTGTTTTTGCTTTGCATGACTGATAAGACCGAATCAGAAATCCAAATGTGAGTATCTGTGTTGTTTTTGCCAACGGGGTCAGCAGCATTTTCAAACAAACATCTTTGGATTCGCCGTTTTAATCTGGACAGGAAGCGGAAACATAGCAAAAGGTGAGAGAGAGAGAGGCAGTCAGTTGATAGAGGGGTGCCTCTCTTTGCATCAGGAAACTCTGCCTGATGCGCTGTGGGTCAAGACAATTAAACTCTGGTAGCGGGCGGCGTGTGAGATGAGCAGGACCACAACAGTTTCACATGATCACTCCTGCTTGTTGCTCCACTTATCTAATTGCTGCTCAACTCTCATTGTAAATAATTAACTGGGCGCATCAATCGCTTCCTGTGTGAAAAGGACTTTGGGGCTAGCTAGCTTTGAAAACTGCTCAGTCCGCATAGTGGAACAATTTTAGCTGCCGTTGAAAATTTGTATGGTGAGTATTGCATCGTCTGATCGGCTTTATTGATTGGCCTTAGAGACCACCGATCAAACTAGTTAAAGCCATTATCGGCAAATTATGATTGGTGACTGATCGATCAAAGCACCCATAGAATATATATAAGAGTGCAAGGAACTAAGTAAGAGAAGATTATTTGCAGTTGTCTGGTTTCATTACCTGGCAGTCAGGAGGGACAAAGATCTTCCCCAGGGAGGAGAGGAACTGCAGAGCAGCCAGCAGCAGCTGATCCTCACACTTCTGAGACACCACAGTATCCACACACAACAGAGCCTTGGAGAGACACACACACACACGTGTTGACGTGTATTCTCTATTGTATTAATTTATGTGAACTATGGAAACTAATGGCATACCTGAAGAATGACTTGATGTTCAAGGTTTTTCACTAAAATGGCTGATACTGACAGGAGCCGCTGCAGAGTGCACTGGAGCACAGGGTGGGTCTGCACCTGGAGTATGACGAGTGACAGGGAGTCATGCATGTACACCACATCTGTGTGTGGGTGGATGCGTGTGCGCATGTGTGTGTTTAAATCGCACCTGGTCTGGACTCATTCGTAACCAGAGCTGTGTGATTATCTTCATTGCAGACAACCCACACTGTTCCTCGGGAGATGGTTGCCCCTGGACCACCGCTAGGAAGGATAACAGCACTACATTCTGGACATAGGGGGGAGTTTGTAAATACTACATTTGTGTATTTTTTCATTTTCATATTTCCCCGTCCTGCTTCCTTGCATTGTTTTCATGGCTGGATTTGACTAAACAATCTTATCTTTGTCATCTGTTTTCAACAATAAAAGCAAGCTTATCTTACTCTTGATATCGCTTGTTGCAATCATTTGTCATCTATTTACTCCCTTTTAAGTGTACAAGGACAGAATCTGGGGCAGCCTTGCCCTTGATGTTTGTACTGCACCATTTCTCTCCATGTATTCAATATCAGTCACTACATTGTCCTTGTTGCCTTCAGGAGCTAAATAAAGGGTAAATAATGGGGTAATGCACCCCATTTACCCTGATCTCAAAATAGCACCTCTGCAGACTTTAGATTCCACTTATTCACTTAGGAATGTGCCTGTTTCGTCTTTGCACAATCATGGCGTCTTCCCTTGAGTACAAAGCAGACAGTAACCCTCTGCTTATTCATGCTAGGTGGGGATACATATAAACAGACCATCCTCTACAGTAAGATTAATAAAAACAGTGACTGGTTAAAATTACTTTCAGACCTCACCACTTTATTCACTTGTCCTAGTTTATACCCTCCATTCTGCCAGTCGGTCAGAGCTTTCTGAGTAAGGCCAATGATGTCCGTCTCTACACGGTGACGGGCATCATGTGAAAGAGCTCTGAGGAGGACATGTTGCCACAACGGAAGGTTTTCCATCTCAGAGGGTGGGAAACGCGTCACCAGCTCCATCTAGAAAAACAAAACATTTCAGATTAATGAAAAACCACTTTACATAAAGGTTATAACCTTTTATAGTTCAATGTGTTTTTTTAATGATACAGACACAATCAACAAGCATCATCCAAAGCCAGAATGATATTCAAAATATACAGATTTTTTTTGTCAGTACTGTGACTGTTAAATGTAAATCAAATACATGAAATACAAAGTCTATATAATTTTCATTTCCATCCAGTCAGTTTTAAGTTTTCTCCATTTATCTTATGTGGCTGTGGGAATTTCAATACAAAACTGTTTATGTAGATGTAAAGTAACACTCAGTAATCCGTGAGTTCATAAAAATTTTCATTTCAGTTCTAACCTGGTGGTTCGGCGTCATGAGGAAAACCATACGTTTGAGCAGCAGGCCCAGGTGAAACAACTGGTAACACTCAGTAGTGCAAGCTTTCACCTGAAGGAGAAGAGGGGGAAGCATAGAGGAGGTGAGGAGTGTCAGTGTCAGGCATGCAAACTGGTCAGGGGTAAAAAAAAATAAATAAAAAGAATAAGGTGAGAAGGACACGCAAGCAGTGAAACATACAGAGACAGTGTAAGACGTGTCTGTTTTTAAGCTTACATGTTTGTATAGATAACGTGCAATTGTCTACTACAACAAGAGAAAGGCACCGACACGCAAGGGTGTCACTTTGTTTTGAAAAGTAGTGGGGACATAAGGGCTCAGATTAGGGGTGTGACGAGACGTAGCGATGCACTTTATTGCAGTTACGAGAACAAGATGTGACGATAATTTAACACTATTTATAGAAATCATCAATGCTGAAATATATGAGTTGTGGGGTCAGGGGGGTCCTCCCCCAGAAATTTTTGAGCATAAAACACTTCATTTCCTGCATTCTGGTGAATTTTCTGTTCTGCCTTTCCTACATCAATTTATGGTTGAAATGTTTTTATTTTATACAAAATTCAGGTGGCAGGTGACATTTAAAAAAAAAAGTATTACAGAATATAATGCAGTTCAGCTCTCAGGCAGTGTGTGTTGCTTTCACATATGTTTCTCCTGTAGTTCAACTTTTCTCATGGAATATCATCTCTGCTGAATTAGCACACATTCAGGCATGATGTAGTCTTCCCTTCTCTTTTGTCATGTTCACAGGGAGAGAACGGGAAAATTTGGCCAAATAGAAACTGTGACAAGAAGTTGTTAAAGTTACTGACTGGTGCTGCATGTTCTGGCGTTATTTTATAATCAGTAGCTTGTTTATTCTTACTTAAAAATGCAAATAAACCTTTCCCAAAGCACTTTCATTGGTTCTTTGCCGTATCATGTTGCAAGCTATCTTTCAAAGCATTTTTAACAAACGCTTTCAAAAAGTGATGGGAACATGTCCCCAGCGTGCCCAGTGTAAATAACATAGATGCCTGACGTTAGCCTACTTTACATCCAGGTTGCTTCCACTGCTCTGATCAATTAGCTTGGCTAACATTACTGATTAATAACAGTGGTCAAATTTCTAAACTTAACAACCGTCCTCACGTGTTTAGCTGTCAGTGCAGCGGACTAGAAAAATGCCCTAATCTGCCTCTGATTGGCTGTTGGGTTGAGGCATTAGGAGTGATGATTGGTTAGGCAGAGCCAGTTATAAAGTTGCAAAGCTCATGCTAGAGAGGAGAGGACTTGGTACTCTGTAGAGACGTAAATGCTGTCTTATTAACAACCGACCTGACTGCATAAATCACGGAGGTGACCCATTTTGGTTTCAAAACGGGGAATTTTTTCCCCGAAAGGTGAGGAGTTTGCATGCCTGTAGTGTAAAGGCTCAGGAGAAATTAAATCATCAGGGTAGAAGAAAGGTGAAGAACTGACAGAGGGAAACTGATATCCTAATGATGTAACAGGTTATGAAAAGGTATCCCAAAGGTCCAACAACTCCCAACTGTCATCCCTGTTAGGGTGCTACAGAAAACAGAAAGGACTCCGTACTAACCCATAAGCCTACAGAGAGAGAGATTAAGGGGCTTTAGAGTTATTTTAGAAAGTGCTTGTGGTGTCTATCAAAGATGGTAAGAGACAAAATTTCAGAATTTGGGATGAGATTGTGTAAACTATATCAGCAAAAGATATAAAGTCCACAATATGAAGGTGTACTGAACATCTTTAGAATTCAGGGCTGAATATGGGTGCCAAAAGGCCATGAAATATATTCTCTCAACTGTATTGTGTATTTTCCTGGTCTATACCCACCAGCTGAGCAATGAGGAGGACATGATGTAGACAAAGTTCTGCTGTCCCATACCTGTAAGCAGAGAAGACCAAATCAACAGTAGATTCAATATTGAACATTAAAAAATGTGCAGAAAATGCTTACAGTACTTCAGTCTAAAGGTGCCTGAAAAGTGGGGTTGGTGACATACTATAGCATGACAGAGTGCAGAAAAGTATGCCTCTATCAAAACACAGCTGCACAAACAAACAATATATACCGTGCTGTGAAGCACCACACATCTGTTGCCAGTAGAGCTGTCTGATTATCGGCCTGCAGTACGGCATCGACTAAACATCGCTCCTGAAGAAGAGAGATACAGGAGAGGGGAAGAGTGAACTGCTAAAAATACAGGACACATAAACAGGGTATCAAGAGATTTAAGACAAAAGTCAAAATGAAAGTGAAAGAATAACTTGCACTGAATGATGGGAAATCCTGCACCTAAACACACAAAGCCAGCCAGAATGTGATTAGATTTCAAAAATAAACAAATTACTTCCACTTGAGTCCACTTGAGACTATCCATGTCTCATGCACAACACATGTGTGAACACTATGTGTATTTGTTGCTAAATGGAAGTTATCACTATACTGAATATATAGAATGAATCATTCTAATGGGGGGCTCTACTTAAAACTCCTTTGACCAAGAAAACACCAGTTATCATGAGTGAAGTAACTCAGAAAGTGATAAAGTCAAAATCATGGCCAAGCACGCTTTTATTGATGGGTTTGAGGTCAGGTCAGTATTTGTCTAATTGAATAAAGACACGTTCTGGCAAGTTTCATCGTGAATGTCAGCCCTCGCAGTTCCCAAGCACCACACCCGCAACTGTTTGTATTAAACATTCTGGATTATTTGCGAGACGGCTTGCCAATCCAATCCTCTGGCCAATTTAGTTTCAGCAGCTTCTGTCACGTATGCACACATTGCTGGGTTTTATCCACTACTGCATAAAAGACATAAGAGACATTGAAAACTACACTCCTCCGACCCAACAACCAAAGTTAACATTTCAGATTTTGTTTTGCTTTGCTATCTCAATCACTGTGTGTTGTGGTTTGGTGCGTAGACCTCACCAGCACGGGGAAGTACACTGGGGGAAGTGCAGCCACACTGGCACAAAGTTGCACACAGATGTGTTGGTGCAGAGTGACCTTGGCCTGGGCCTGACCCTTCATCATCACCCCGGGCAACAGCACCGGTACATGACGCTCAGTATGGCATCGTCTGAAACTAGCAAACAAGGCCTGGTAGAGAGGAGGCCTGCAAACAGAGGGGATGGCCTTTTAGACATATTTACACATTATCTTAATACATGACTGATACATCTATTTACAGTGGGTACGGAAAGTATTCAGACCCCTTTAAATTTTTCACTTTGTTTCATTGCAGCCATTTTCCAAAAATCAAAAAAGTTCATTTTATTTCTCAGTAATGTACACTCAGCACCCCATCTTGACAGAAAAAAACAGAAATGTAGAAATTTTTGCAAATTTATTAAAAAAGAAAAACTGAAATACCACATGGTCATAAGTATTCAGACCCTTTGCTCAGTATTTAGTAGAAGCACCCTTTTGATCTAATACAGCCATGAGTCGTTTTGGGAAAGATGCAACAAGTTTTTCACATCTGGATTTGGGTATCCTCTGCCATTCCTCCTTGCAGATCCTCTCCAGTTCTGTCAGGTTGGATGGTAAACGTTGGTGGACAGCCATTTTCAGGTCTCTCCAGAGATGCTCAATTGGGTTTAAGTCAGGGCTCTGGCTGGGCCATTCAAGAACAGCCACGGAGTTGTTGTGAAGCCACTCCTTCGTTATTTTAGCGGTGTGCTTAGGGTCATTGTCTTGTTGGAAGGTAAACCTTCGGCCCAGTCTGAGGTCCAGAGCACTCTGGAAAAGGTTTTCGTCCAGGATATCCCTGTACTTGGCCGCATTCATCTTTCCCTCGATTGCAACCAGTTGTCCTGTCCCTGCAGCTGAAAGACACCCCCACAGCATGATGCTGCCACCACCATGCTTCACTGTTGAGACTGTATTGGACAGGTGATGAGCAGTGCCTGGTTTTCTCCACACATACCGCTTAGAATTAAGGCCAAAAAGTTCTATCTTGGTCTCATCAGACCAGAGGATCTTATTTATCACCATCTTGGAGTCCTTCAGGTGTTTTTTAGCAAACTCCATGCGGGCTTTCATGTGTCTTGCACTGAGGAGAGGCTTCCGTCGGGCCACTCTGCCATAAAGCCCCGACTGGTGGATTGCTGCAGTGATGGTTGACTTACTACAACTTTCTCCCATCTCCCGACTGCATCTCTGGAGCTCAGCCACAGTGACCTTTGGGTTCTTCTTTACCTCTCTCACCAAGGCTCTTCTCCCCCGATAGCTCAGTTTGGCGGACGGCCAGCTCTAGGAAGGGTTCTGGTCGTCCCAAACGTCTTCCATTTGAGGATTATGGAGGCCACTGTGCTCTTAGGAACCTTAAGTGCAGCAGAAATTTTTTTGTAACCTTGGCCAGATCTGTGCCTTGCCACAATTCTGTCTCTGAGCTCTTCAGGCAGCTCCTTTGACCTCATGATTCTCATTTGCTCTGACATGCACTGTGAGCTGTAAGGTCTTATATAGACAGGTGTGTGGCTTTCCTAATCAAGTCCAATCAGTATAATCAAACACAGCTGGACTCAAATGAAGGTGTAGAACCATCTCAAGGATGATCAGAAGAAATAGACAGCACCTGAGTTAAATATGAGTGTCACGCAAAGGGTCTGAATACTTATGACCATGTGGTATTTCAGTTTTTCTTTTTAATAAATTTGCAAAAATTTCTACATTTCTGTTTTTTTCTGTCAAGATGGGGTGCTGAGTACATTACTGAGAAATAAAATGAACTTTTTTGATTTTTGGAAAATGGCTGCAATGAAACAAAGAGTGAAGAATTTAAAGGGGTCTGAATACTTTCCGTACCCACTGTACATACTTTTCAAAGTCTCACTAAGTGCATATACAATATTAAAGTCCTAAATCACTAGTATCTATGATGCTTCTTTAATTTAACATAATTATTTCCCACACTCAATATTCCAGCTGTGCAGTGTAAAACGATGGTTATTTTATTGTTCCATCTCACTTTACTAATATACAGCTGGTCCGTGTTATAGAATAATCTATAAAGAAATCTGAATAAAAATACTGTTTAATCAGTCATGTTGGATCTGAAATGGGTTTACTCTCTGTAAAATAGGAAAACTGAACTGAACTAAATAAATAAAAAATCAATAATCCATCAACATCAATAACCAATCCCTGCTGCTTTAGTAACCATGGTGGTTGGCAGCCTGACATCCAGTTAATTGCTGGCCCCTGTATTAAAGCACCAAATGTTAAATAAATAAATAAATGTTAATAAAGTAATCTGTTGATGACAACAATTATACCCCTGTTTATTACCTGGGTATCTCTTCTGAGAACTGGCTGCCAGTGTACCAAAGCTGCAGCACCTCCTCTGGTTGGGAGGTGAGCTGACCCAGGACGCTCACCAGCAGAATACACTGAGGGAGCCCATGTTCAGGACTTAACCCTACAGACAAACAAAACAAAGGTCATTCTAGGATTGTATTTTGATTATGCTATTGCCAGTCAGTAGCTAGAAACATGATGCATGATGAAACGTTCTTTTGAGTGAGAACACACGGCCTACATTTTTCCAAAGACAACACAATTTCCTAAACACTCAAATTGTCAGTCTTCAGTAGACTCAGAGTTTTGGAAGCAAAAGACTGGAGAGTCACTGTATAGTAATATACATTATATACTGAACTGATCTCAATGCCGTTGCTGATCTAACTCAGCAGATCAGATAGAATTTGTGGGACTGGTGTATTCCTACTATGTAACAGGTAGTATGCTCACACTGGGAAAATAAGAGCAAGTATACATTGCATGTTGGTATTTTTAATGCTGACAGTGTAGACTGCAAATCTCTACATTTTTAAGTGTGACCTATTTTGGGTGTTGCTTTATTGATTGTTTAGTAAACCATATAACATTACTGTTAATGTGCTTCATCTGAAGCCTCTGAAAACATATTACAGTGTCACCTAACAGCGACATTGTCTCACAGAACTGAAGAAGCTAGTCACAGAAAAGAATTGTCGAGGGTGCAACACTTCTAGCAACAGTTTGTAAATAAAACTAAAACAGGCAGAATATCCTAAACTACCATTGCCCTGTTTGTTAAGTACTCTTTCAAAGCAAATTTGCTTCACCAACACAAGACCGCTATTATTTTCTGTTACAATTAAAATATACAATATACTTAAATACATCATTTACTGTATGACATTGCCAAAATAGTATACATTGTTTTAGAAATGGGTATGGAACTGGTACACAGGTAATTACTAAAGAGTTTATAAAACAATGTTTGCACTGCAAAGGGAGACTGCAAAGCAAAGCAAAGCATCCATCAACCTGGCCACAGCATACAGGAAAAGGAGCAAGCAGAGGACCATCTTTAAACTCACGCAGGTCCTGCTGCAGGACAACTTCAGCGAAGGGTTGTAAGGGTAACAGCTGGAGCAGGAGGGCATCCATGGGAACCAGAGCAGCTGCATTCAGCTCCTCAGACAGAGCCATGGGCAGCGTTGGAGCACACAAGCTGGGAGGGAACTTACTGAAATACATCAGGCACATCAGAATGTATGTTTCCACACTTCTCAATAATTGTCAACTCAAAGGGTAAATTGTAATGTGAATCTGCTTCTTAAAACCACAGCCAAACCACACATACCTGGTGATCTGGAGGTAGAGTTGGTGAAAGCAGCTACAATACTTTGTCAGAAAAAATTTGAATTCCTGTTCAAAGGATTAGGAATGAGGGGATGTTAAGTTCAGCTGCTTTGTATTCTGAAGTAGAGAACAAAATAATTTAACAGACACAAAGATGGCACAATGTTTTATAGAGTCAAGGGGGGTGCAAGAAGATCCAAAAGTTTTTTACCTTTATGTAATGAACCAAAGTGTTGGCAAAAAATCTACACATCTTTGCAATTTTCTGGAACAGCTTGTATTCTGGGCTTTGTGCTGCCTCCTTTAAAAAGACATAAGAGCATTAACACAACAACGCGACAAACACTGAGTCTACCCTTTAACGTATGCTACTAAACTTAAGTGTCACTTATTAAAAAAAAATAAAAAAATAAAAAGGGGTATAACACAGTGAAAATCTATCTAGCAAATAACCACCATTGTGCAGACTCTATTTGGTATCAGGGCAGGGTATTTGAGCTTAAATTAATTCTCTAATGAACAAAAATAACTGCTAAAAAATAATTTCATACTTTTAAATTACCAAACTAAAATGTTATTTTCAATTTGTTGTCCTGTATTCGTCAAGCTATAAAAAGCTGCTTAAAAGTTCATTATAAATAATTTCTTTCAATAAATTGCCAATCAGAGCTTTCCTACCTGCAGACCAGCATGTTTAATCTGTTCACCCAGCTCCACACAGTGGTGGAAGGAGGCCAACAAGTTGTCACACAGGCTGTTGCTGATGTCGCCATGATGTAGATGTTCCTCCACCAATGACTGGTACTTCAGACTCTGTCTGAACAGAGTAATGACCATTTAATCACTCACTAATCAGATGAACTTCTAAATGTATCCAACTCTTACAACGAAGTGATTCATTCTAGTATGACAGATGATATGACATTATAAAAAACACAAGTGTAAATAGAAGTGTGTGCTATACTGACTTGATGAGAAATTTCCATGTATTTGCATGCAGTGCTATGTCCAGGTTGGAGATAATAGAGCAGATATCCAGCAGGCCATGAATCACTGAAGACGATGAAAAATAACTTCATTGAATTGAAGATTGCAATGAAGGTGTACAAGTACAACAGTGGAAGGGCTTAATAACGATGGGTGTGGCAACAGAACAATGCACTCAGAAATATCCACACACACACACACCTGTTACAATATCAGAGATCTGCTCCTCTGAGGCAGTGCTGTCAAGGGTGATCCTGTCCAGCAGCTCTAACAGACCCTTCTGGAGGGAGTAGGCCTCCTTGAAGAGTTCCTGCAGCAGGTCAGCCACCAGGGACAGACGGCCACAATAAAAAACCTCACTCTCCTGAGGACAACATGAAGAGTATGCGTCAACTCATCAGTTTCATTTTTATAGATATTCATCCTACCACCCCCACACCGTTTCCTGCAGCAAGAAGATGCTTATCACAGCAATTTCCAGTTTAAGAGGTCCTCTTAAGCTGTTGACACCTCAGATAATACTTCTGGTAATAAAAGGACTGTAATAACAACAAAGAGAAAAATGAGGAGGAAGCGCAAAGACAGTACCCTCTAGGTACGTTTGTGCTGCAAATAGTACCTTTAAAATCACCCTAACTTTGGAATTACTATATTTTTTTAAATCAAATTTTCAAAAAGTTTAAATAAACACAGATACTTCCTAATTTTTTGTTTAAAATAAAATCTGAAAAGAATGACCCCTAGGGTATAAACAAAACTCGCACCATTTAAGGTTAGCTCTGAACATTTATGTTTAGTTAGTCCAAGAACTCATGTAATCACTCGCTAAATTTACACTATTAATTTTATGCATTTCCTGTACGTAATAACGCATTAATCTTATATCGCTTTATAATTCATTCTGAGTAATAATAACATGATTATTTTATTAATCATAATGTTACAAATACCATCAAAAGATTTTGCCCTAATTAATAATTTAAGATGCATAAATATGCATTACCGCTTCTCTCTGCGCAGTGTTAAAATGTACTCAGCCGCTGGTGAACAAAACAGACCAACCTTGCAGTGCTGAAAAGTTCTCCTGAGGACTTTGAGGATACAAGTTGGTAAGGAGCGGATAGCATCTAGATCAGGAGCTTCCTCAAATGTGCCAACATGACGCACACAAGTGGATAGTGCATCAACTATCTGCATCATTGCCTGAAATAAACATCAGAATCTTGTCAAAGCATTGGTTAGGGGTGAAGTGAGAACAACAGGCCTCATGCAAGAATCACTCATATGGACAGATTTGTGCTTAAAACCACTTGCTGCATTCGCCATTTATTCCGTATTTGTAAATGATGCACTACTTAAAAGGTTAATTTGTCTCTGGATATAATAAGGTGAGCTGTAAGTGTAATCTGTTGGATGCCTTAGGCCCTTGGGAGAAAGTGACAATGTGCTGATATTTTTTGGCAGAGACAATGGTTGTATTTGCAGTTTAGATTACCAAAGGCTGTGCTTCTGCAAACTCTGCTGACACACCAATCCCGCCCTATTCCCTTTATTCCACTGTTGATAAAGTTCTTCTTTTCACTGTTGATCATTTTCATGAAAGAACACTTCCTGACGTATAGGGCAGGACATGTTGCCTTATATGATATTATTGTTGCATTAATTATTCTAATTTGAATCTAATTAAAATGTAATTAAAATTACATGAACTGGTGCTCAATTACCCACAGAAAGCATTCGTCATGTTTACGCGAGTCATTTACGGTTATCTGAAGTTAGGAGCATTTGCTGAATGTGATGTGGCACATATTCGAGCGCACAAAAATAATAAGAGAAAGTTAAGAATACAAAAATGTTCTTGCATGAGGCTCAATTTTTCTCAGAAGATATACATCATATAGTACCATAAACTTGTATGTTACTATTGCACCATTTTGAAATACACAGCCTTGCAATGTAACAACTAAATCCGAAATTGTAAGTACCTGGAGAATGTTCCTTAGTGAGGAACACAGCTCAGTGTTTTGACTGGACAGCCCCCCAACTTGGTTGAAAATCTCTTTCATCATGCAGTCAAACATTGTCACTGCCTGCAGACATTTGTGAGATAAGGAGAGGACCTTCACACAGACAAATCCATACACTTTTATGGGAAGATGTAAACGAACCAGTAACTCACAAGACAACAATAGTTCTATCAACAAATCCTTCACAAGGCAAAGATTTAGTGTGACTAACTTTATAGAAAACACACTTTCTGAATTAAAAAGGTGATTCAGGGTCTCATCAAAAGAAAGAGTTTAAAACAATGTCATCCCCTTCGGACAACAGTGCCAATTGACACTGAAAACTCAACTTAAGATCTACAATGTTATATTAGGTAACTAAATATTATGTTGTTTAAGATCTTTAATGTCCTTGAATTTAGTGAAGCTAGTGAAGGTATTCACTACATATATGATCATGTTGTTTACCTTTGGTAAGATCTTGGAAAAGCACTCATCTTCCAGCTCTGACAAACCAATGTGAGGGAGGAACATATCTGTAATTATCTTCAGTATACCTGTAGGGATGTTGTGTTTTTAAGACATAATGAGATCACAAATAGAACTCAAGGCCCAAAGTAAGCAGTTTAGAACTACCAGTTGTGCAGTTAAGTACTTACGTATATGATCATCCCAACTCTCAGACTTATGATGCAAAGAGTATAAACAGTCAAGGAATAACTGCATTTCAGCAAATTAATTTTCTCTTTATTAACCTATATGTCTAAATATGTCAGGATCGCAATAATAGTTGTTTTTTTAATGAAGATAGATTAGTACGAGGAAAACACAAAATTGTGCCCAGCTTCACCAAGAAAATACATAACTTTATCATTTTGAGAGGGTCTGAAGATGTTGGTGTTCTATATTCATAACAATAGGCCTCCCCCTCATTCAAAAACGTAATTCAACAGATAATATTTATTTTAAACTGTAACATTAGACCTATTAATACCAAAGATTGCATCATTATTTCCATGCTTTTCCAGTATTTTGTGTATTTCAAAACTTTACAAGACCTGGATATCACAGGTCTCTCCTTATATGAAGCTATGAATCATATCACAAGAATGTAAAAAGGATATGGTGAGTTCTGGGAGGACAGACTTGAGCTTCTGGCGGCAGGTTTCCTGACTCCACTGCACCACCTCGTCCAGAAGAGAAGTGTTGGTATGGGACATGATGACAGCATTCACCGAGGAAGGTGAGGACAACTGTCCCAACCACATAAAGTTTTACAACGTCACCGAGTGAGTCTCCCGTAAGACGGCTTTATCAGTATTTTCATCCGTAAAGAAGATGTTATCGATTATTCGCTTACTGTTTAACGTTAGACAAGCAAGAACTAAGTTACCGTTAGCTTGCGTGCTTGCTACGGTATGTTTTGCTAACATTTAACGTTAGCATAGTGAGTTAGGTTAGTTAATGTTCATTTGGATAATAGCTTCTTACCATAAATACTACGCTGTGTACTCTCGTCAAAAACATAAAAGCACCCAAACGTTCCTACGAGTGTGTTTCTCTTAACGTCACCATTATGTTTTTGTTAACCACTAAGTAAAATGTAGAAGAACTCAATAAAGTGGGAAAGAGCTGATCGTTAAACATACCGCGCGCCGCTGTTTGAGTCGGATGTGACGTTTTGAGCTAAGTGGCTCATCTGCCCTCACTGTGATTGGTTGAAATGTTATACAGCAAAACTTTCAACCAATAACGAAACGATATTACTCCAATGCGCTGAAAATAACAACTCTCACTATGACCCCACGGGATCAAATGAAAGGTAAAGTAAAGCCTTAAATGCGTGCTAAATTAATACTATAACGTTACATCTATGCATGGTGTTGAGTCATTCATGTCTTTCAGACATTTTTTTATTTTCCTGTGAAAAGATACATGTTTTCTGTCCCAACACACGTGTCCCATTTAATGAACTTTAAATGTTGTGACCAATTAACTGTAAACAAGACATCCCTTTCAAAATGGAGGGCACTGCTAAATGAAATATGATGATGGAAATAATAAAATTCCATGGCAGAGTCACAATATGAAACTTTGCTGTCAGAACATGCCTTAAACACCAGCATGACACGTTCATCAACAATGAGAAATGTATCTTAGAGTTGATTTTTCCTAATGTTGACCTATAATAAACGTGAGGTGATGAGCTTTCACAAACCATAAAACACCCAAATGGATGTTATAGCCATACAACACTATACGTTATGAAATAACATAATACATCCAACCTACTGTATGACATGGAAGCTATGTTATGCACACTTGTGATATATTCTATATTATTCTGGGCTTCAAAAATGCCACACATTTCAGAAATTTAGAGGGGCTACAATTACATTTTTTTTGTTTAATGTTTGTTGTGTTTTGGATTTAAAGAAGAGTTTACTAATAATTAATAAAATTTTGTTTAATTAATGAACATATAAAGTTACATAAACAATAAAGCTTTAATGAAGATTACATAAGGGGAAAAAAGCAATAAGAATAGGCTTACTGATATTGTGGCTAAAATCCAGATAGTGATATCAGATGACTGCATAATGACATATCAAGCTTACATGGCCACCTAAGGAAAGTAAATGTTCTTAGGACATGTACAGTCCTGCATCTAAGGGGTTTGGTTCTGTCCCTTTCACAAGCAGTTTCTATCCTCTCAAACTGAGCAAGACAAATCTTTGTTTGAGAAATTCCACTCCAGGCTGCTTATCCATTGTGACCTGGTGACAAACTGTGCATCAGGGTGATAAAATGAAGCATATCAAGGACAAATATTTTGAAATCACAATTTCCTGGTTATGACCTGATGTTACTTGCTTTATACAGTTGGCTACATATTATTTTTATATATTTCTAATTTATAACTACCTAGTTGGTAGGTTAATAACTAAACCTACCAATTAACCTACCAAGACCATGTAGGCAGGCAGACGATGTTTGAGACATTTAGGACTTTTTGATTGTATTGTCAGGGAAGGGGAGGATGATATTTATCCTTTAGACGTCTGGAATTTCTGTTGGCTGTGACCTGATTAATAAAATCAGTGTCTGGTCGGCAGGCTATTGTTTCACTGATAAGATCTTGAGCATTGAAGTAAACCAGCACGCTTTTGTTGCACTTTTGTTTCCCGACAGTCTCAGGTGTTAGTGTCTGCCACTGCCGGAAGGGACTGACTTCTTGTTTAGGAAACAAGACTCCACACTGATGCTTATCTCTCCACATAAAATGTATTGCTGTACTGCTTGCAGTGTACTTACATTTGGAAGGAAATATCAATATATATGGTAATGGTAAAATTCCTGTAGAATACAGTACTTTGGCTATTGCAAGATGATGGAAAGTGTATTTCAGATTTCTATTCCTTCCCCCAAAACAATTGTCTTCACTTGCCCTGTCCCAATGGAGGTCAGTGTGCAGCATCTCTACATCTTGTGTTTCAGCATCTTGGCCAAGTGCACTTCAACACAGATGCTTGATGTCATGGTGGACTGTGTCTGTCTTTTCACTTACAATCACTATAAGCAACTATCAACCTCTGAGTGTCGGAACAGCTCTGTGCGAGAAGGTAATCTAATTCTAAGGGAAGTTCATCACCCCAAAAGCTCTTCTAAATGAGACAAATCTTATGTAAACATAATAAAAGTACTTCAAAATCAATCCATAAAGTATTATTTAAAAAGAGTAATTTGGAACAAATGGGGGGGGGGGTTATTCTGAGGATTATCTTATGTGGGATAATAAACATTATAATGAAGGCCTCCAACTCCAATTTTCCCTTTTAACTTTTACATGACAACACAGACTGATAACGTTTTGGTCATATGTTTCATGCGAAATCTCGTTAAACTCTTACTGTAACATATTCCAAGAAGGGGGTTAAGTCTAACACAGTTTAGGACTTCCCTCCTGTGCTGACCTCCCTGTTTGTAGATAATGGAAAGGTTATCAGTTCACAGGAAACTGGCTCCGGATTTGGGATGGAAACCAGACAGAAGTAACCTTTTGTTTTTCATTTTTTTAAGGTCACAGGCTAACTGGCAGAATGCAGTCAGTATCAATGTCTATGTTAAGTCCACTGATGAGAGCTCTCTTTGGTGCGTTGACTGTAGCTAATTCTGTTCATAGAGTATTGCAGAGTTACACGCCACTCTTCCTTTTAATGTTAATCCCTATGACTCGCCAGGCATATGGTGAGTCACAAGCACAAACAGAAAGTGGAGAATATGGTACACTGTTGTAATACAACAAGATTGCATCTGTCGTGGGACAAACCCAGAGGAAAAGGACGTAGACTCTTTGAATACTGATCTCATCTCATAGGAATAAATTTAATATTTAATCAAGACAGGAAATCCATCTTCCCATTTGAAGTGATCTAAACACCCCATTATCACTTGCTGACGACAGTGATTAGAACTTTTGCTTTCGGATTTCTACTTTAGGATAGAGCACAAACAATGATGAAAGTATCTGAGATGTTAGGAATAGCCAAAGGCATCACTTTGTGTTGAAATGTGGTGGGGACATGTCCCCAGCATCCCCAGTGTAAATGACACCTATGGGATTGGCCAGTGTAAATAAACCACTTAGACCAGACTAAAATGATTTGTCTACAAAGCAGTTCATAGACTGGCTCCCCCTTAACTGAAAAGCTGTGGCTCTCTGTCAGCCTGGCTACAGTGTTGAAAAGAAACCTGGGGTTGTTCCTATTTTCCTCTATTAATGACGAGTAGTACGCTGCTCTAGCATAATGGAGGGCCTTCATATAAGACTATCTTGCCAAATTAAATGAGAATTTTCCAGTATGGTGGAACGCCAATTTCTCGCAAGTGTCCGCGACATTTGCTTTAATTTGCGAGTTTCAGTATTATACCATGGAGCTAACCGCCTTTGTTTTATTATTTAATTTTCTTTTAGAGATCTGATGTTTAAGAGTCCACATTTAATTATCCTATTCTTTTGCACTATTGCTCTTGTGGTTTTAATTTTTATGAGGTTTTTATGCACAGCTCCTCTTCTGTTTACCTTTGATTTAAATCATTTCGACGGTCGGGGCAGACACCGTCACTATAGGGTTTTCACTAGGAAGGCCTAGCTCCTGAAATGGAGGAGCAGAGAAGTGTGTTAGACTGCGACTCTGGGTTTTGGGTGGGTAACTACTGAAATAGAAGGGTAGAGAAGTGTGTAAAAATTTTTTACATAACATATTAATAAATATTCATAAAAAATAAAATATGCAATCAAATATAATATGAGGAGGTGTGTCTCATTTGCACAGTTTAGTTCTACAATTCGGCATTGGTTTGGTGTCTTTGGATCACATGACATGGAAGCTATTGAAATAAATGATGATTTTCCCATAACACTGTTTTAACAATTGCAATTTATTGATGGTCCCTAAGCTAACCCACGGTGGTTAAAAGCGATCTATCGGAGGTGAGCTAACTGGGTTAGGTGGTGCGTCGGTGTGTCCGTGATTCTGCAATCACATCCCCAAACGCCAGTCGGCAGGGTTAGGGCTACAGCGTCCACTGTGTTGACTTTTGCTGGGCGAGCAGGCTAACTTCCGGTTTAGCCCTCTGCCAACGTGAATGGGGGCAAAATTGTAAACGTGCGGCTGGTGTAGCATTATCAAATGTTATCCGAGTGGATCACATTCTGATAGTGAAACGAGTCATTTCGCTCGGGTTTTTACGGTCAAATATATTGATCCACCGTGTTACAGCCGCTGGTTTGGCCGATAGGCATTGATTGCGAGGCTACCGGAGGCTACTCAGCAGACACTGTTGCTGCGTTCCATTTACCTCGGAAGTCGGAGCTGGGAATGACGTCACATCCGAGTTGACTGCGTTCCAGTTAACAAGTCGGAAATCGATTTGATTTAAAAAAAACGCATTGTGCGGTATTTACTCACACTAAACACTGTAGCAACACGTCCACAGACAGCTGTTGGACAGCACTTTGTGTACGAACATTTATATGAGTGCCCACGGTCCACTTCGCCTCGACGTGTAGTTACAATTTTGACGAGGTGCACGTCAGGCTAGGGTAGGGGGCTGATTTGACGGAGAAGTCTAAATTGCAGTCCACATTCAGAAGCCGTCACTGGATCCTGGGTGAATGTCGATGTTATATGTCGAATATCCAACTTAAAGAGTTGGTATTATGCTTTTTGGCTTTTTCCCTCTCCTTTATCGAGTTATATCTCTTTTTTGTGTATGTAACAGGTTTGCAAAGTGAAAAAGCCCAAAGTCCAGCCCAAAGGGAGTTCACGTCTCCCACAGAAAGCTCTGCTCTGAACCCCTTGAAAACAGCTCGTTTGTAGTCCAGCCCTTCACTTCCTTTACTTGTGACGTCACAATGAAAACGCGTCATAAAGCTTGCCAAGCGGCTAGCGGGGGGTCAGGCACGCCCTCAAACCAAGCTAGTCTGAGCGGAGGCCCTTTGGCTCGACTCGCCTTTGTCTGGTTTTCCATTGCAGAAATGTTGTACCTGTACCTGCTTCCAGGTACTTTTTTTCGTATCACCTCACCTCCGTGAGGTTCCAAGCGAGCTGAGGGATACTAAAATGTAACGTGAAAACACCACAGATTGCTGATTGGTAAGAGAGAATATTCTCTATTCACTGCATCATCATTGCTGCACCAGACAGAGGCCAGCAACAAAGTATTATATTTTACAGTTTTCATATGGAATTTCATCACTAAATCCACTTCTGAGAAGTTTTGAGGTGAGAAATCAGCTGTGTAGATTTCCAATATTGACAGTTTTATGAGAAGTGATGGCGGAACAAAAATGTGCATGAATATTTTCGGAGTTGAGGAGCTCCGCAAGTGGCTGCGGGGAAAGCCTGTGCCAACTCGTGGGAGGAGCATGTGAGGCCGGCCAGCCGCTCGCTCACAGAGCCCTCTGCTCCCACCGTCACACAGACCGCTGCAGCAACAACGGCAGAGGAAAACACAGCTGGAAGGATTTCATACCGCTTATCTGTCTTTACATTCTGAGGAATCGTTTTAACTTAAAAAAGAGAAAGTTGTGTGGATCGCTGGTGTGTGTGTCGCATTGAACATTACGTCGTGGCAATTGTGTGTGGCGTCGCTATGACAACAAGCTACGTTCTATCTCTGGGTACTATCTGCAATGGAAAACGGAGCAGGGCAGAGTAGAGTCGAATCTATCGATTTGCGCTATGGTAGCATTTTTCCGCAAGGCAGCATAGATCATCAGAACACCGAACAGTTCAACGTTTAGTCCTGATGGTAAGATGTGGAACAATGATGATGTGTAGTTGTGGACTTGAGTAACTTATACCATCTGCTAGGTTACGGTCACAGTCTGAAGCGGCTTTGATTTGGATCACACTGACTTATTTCTTACGACCCGCCCTTCTCTGCTTCTGATTGGCTAGTAGTCCTTACCTGGGAACTGCGCAAGTACAACTCCCAACAAAGATTTTGTACAAGTAAGATGCATCACTCTATAGCTCAAGAGCGGCGCGTACAACACATAGGGTGAAAAGAGGAGCTGCAGCAATGTGCAGTATGAGAAAAATATGGTGTTTTTTCAAAATTAAACCATGTAAACCTGTTCTGGTACAACCCCTAATTAAGATTTTGAACCTGAAAATTAGCATAATACCACGTCTTTAAAACTAACTTCACCGCGGTTGTGCGGAGAAATAAAGTGGTCATGTTCAAGATCATGTTTGGGTAAAAAACTAAGCCTCTCTAACCGGGATTTTAAAGTTTTTAAAGATGTAAATGTGTTAAGATATGTGCTTTGATATCGACAGAATGAATGAGTAAATGAAATGGTATGTTAGACAGCCGCCTCAGGCTCTGAAGGAGGGGAGGAGAGAGAAACTGACGAGAAACCTCCCGAGGAGGTTAGGTTCACAGCTTACCATCAGGACTAAATGTTCACAGCATCAGTTGCCGGAGTTACTTATCTAGGGATTATCTGATCTCGCTCTCTGAAACGGAAAACGCAGTTTCCCTCATTAAGGCAAGTTTAACATACGCTACTCAGAATTTTCACTAATCCCGCTTTCGTCTCAATTCTGGATTGTCATGGATTTGGTCCACTAACTTGGCCAGATTTCTAGAAATGAGAGCTGCTCTTTCTCAAGTGGGATGGATGCCGTCTCTCCGAATCAGGTCTTTCCCAGAAAGTCTGCCAATGATCTACAAAGCCCACATCATTTGCTGGACACCGCCTCAACAACCAGAGGCGAAATGACAACATACGGCTATACATGTCATCACTGGTCAGATTTGGCAGGGGTCCAGAGAAAACTACGGTGTCCGACATTCTATTTGCATATGTACACACCGACTCAGTATTAATCTTACTGTATTTCTTTATCCTTAACCAGCAGTTTCAGATAAGACTCAATGTCGCTCGCTCTGGCCCCAGGGATGCACTTAACTATGGCCGCTGGCTTCGCTAACTTCACGTTTCTCAAAATGGAGCTGCCAATGATCAGAGTTGGTTTCTAAGCGAGTGTGTTGCTGAGTGGGGAAATCTGTTAGAAACGTGAACAGGTTGGTGGTGACCCGTGGGCTTTGAATGCTTATTTATTTTTAATTTTTTTTGATTGTTAGTTCTGAGTGATGCAAAAAGAAGATAGTAAACATTTGTCATATCAAAGTACAGGAACACCTTAAATGCTAAAAGTAGAGGCGGTAGAAAAGAGAGAAAATTTGTTTATAAAATATGACTCAGCTTGGGCTATTTTATCTGTCTGTAACCTTGTTTTTGTTATTCTTGTCTCAGATTTGTTTTCTTCCTGGCTTTTGTTTGCAAAGCGATGAGGGATTCTGATTGAAGTTTGATTATTTTGCGTTCAGAAATGAAAGTGTATAACCATGACGGTATGCAAAAGCCCCTTATCTTTTTCAATTTTTTTAAACAAGGAACTTTCCCTTCAGAGTAACAGGATGTGTTAGTGATTTCAACTGGCTCACCCCTTCCTGTATGGACTTCACGTTTGGCACCCGGCCTTCTCTGGCCCATTCTGCCAAAGTCAATTAAACACGAGAAAATGCATAAAACAATCACTTTATTTTTTACATGAAATGAGGTTTGCAGAGTTTATACCACAACCTTCACATTTCAGGTTACCACATGATGAATCCTGCATTCAAAAAAATACTTTATTTAATAGTTTTTCATATCAGATAAATAAAGGAAGACATTTGAAATGAGATGCAGGTTTACACTCTTATTTTTTGTCATCAGACCAGGTGATCTCATAGTCGCTGAAGGCACTCTTCAGCTTCCCCACAGAGACAGAATGATCTGCTTTACCAAACGCCTGAAAATAAGTGAGAAAGCATTCACATTGTCACTTTAAAATACGAGTATTTGGTATTTTATTCAGCTTTTAATGCCTCTCAAATTAAACTTACAGTTGATTCTCCAAACACCCTTAGTTTTTTCTCTTGGCTGTTGTGGTCTATCTTCCCTCCTCCAAGGCATTTACACTCCATCCCCAAGGCCTCCATAGCTGGATTGACCTTCTCAAATATATGATCTGTAAATAATCCAAATCATTTCATCAATCAGAATGTTTGGTTTAATTCTAGGACAGTCAGATAAGCAAATTTAGCAATTTATTAGTAGTTTCACATTTAATCTGAAGCTGTTGCCGGCCAACATCGGCCTTGTCTGTGCAGTAGCCTATCTCTCCGAGTTTGCAGGGTGCACTAAAAGAACCTTGCAAATGGGACAAATCTGCCCATGCTGCTGCAACAGTACAGGTCATCTGTAGTTTGGTTTGCACATTATCTCGAGCTGAACTGACGCACTTGACGCTCCCTTGCAGCAACTCGTCGTTAACTTACTGTGGTACTCTGCACTTTTTGTGCCTCGAACTATGTCTTTATGCACATCGCCATCTTTCACTTTAACTCTGACCAGTATGTACTTAAAGGTTCCCTCTGGATCAATCTCCACGTCGGGGATTTTAGCCAGAGCGTCTGCCATTGCGACTGTAGGTTTACTCAAAGCACCGGGTTGATCAGAGGTCTACCGAGGACAGACAACACGGTGCGTTCTCAAATGCCTTTATTTAGATTCGGACGTCTATTTCCTGTCTTAAAGAGACAGGCCATTTGCAGCCTGTAGCTGCTACTGGAAGATAAAGAATCAATTGCACGCTGGTGACCCCGTATGGCATCAACAAGGAACTGTCTCTAAAAAACCCAGAAATCATGCTGTAGTGTAGATTGGTATCAATGCACTGCAGCTTTTAAAAAACAACCCAGTTCATAGCAAAGGGAAGAGATCAATCAACAATATGTAATGTTGGCAAGCCTATTTTTCAAATAGGATACTTTTTCTTTTAGATTTATACTTGATATGTATTTTCCTGCAGCCAGAGCCAGGATTTTTCCTTTCGTGTCTATCAGGAAGGTCAGAGGTCTCAGTCGAAGCTGATGGGGATGTAGTTTTTGGAAAGACGATACTGCTTTATCATCATCATCATCATCTATCAAGCAAGACAGTGACGATAAATGTATGTTTTTATTTTCTGTGATTTATGGCGACTAAATGTGTTACTTTTTGTCCTGAAATATTGTCTGAAGTTAGTAATTGAAGAAGCAAAGTGCAATAAAAATGAGTCTATAGCGGTAATAGTAATGTCATAGTTGTGCCAATATTACCCACATAAAGTGATTCAAATAGCTTTGACCATGCCCACTTTTTAATGCATGGTGAATTGCAAGAATAGATTTGTGGGGTGGGTCCTAATACAAATAAAACAATTTACACATCACACAGTCAAAGCTTTTTTTTATAGAAATGTGTCTAAACAAGCGAGATTAAACCAGGAATGAACTGCAAGCCTCATCTCCTCTGGTAGACTGATCCAGTGTACGGGCCCTGACCGTTAAGTCCCTGTCTTTAGATTTTAGCCTGTCCCTTGGAATAGCTTGATTTCTAGGAATCGCGAGACCCCAACCAGCTCACTGTGATGTGAGCACAAATCTATATAAGCATCTGATTAGGATGTTGAAACTGAGTTTCCTCCTACTGTGTGTGAGTTAATTATGGAGTTTATATAGGCATTTTAGGGGAAAGGGTGGAGGTTAAGAGGTGTCACGCAACAGCAGCTACTATCCAATGCTTCGTGTCAGAAAGGAAGGAAATGAACTGTCATTTTTAGAAACACAGGCAGCTAGCAGGCGCCTCTGCTCCTGCAACCCACACTTCCCATCCCTGGACACTCATAACAAATGCCAGTAAAGTGTTTTTTAGTGGCCATTGCATTGTTTTTTTTCTTTTGATAAGCACATCCTTTGACAGGACATGTCAATAAATATTTTTAAACTTTGAAAACCATGTTCCAATCTGAGGTTTTTCTGTTGGTACACTTATTACAATTAGTAATATGCATCAGTTGGAATGAATCATCATACACACTCTTGGAACCTAGACTTAGACCGGTCCAAATGGCTTTGCAGACACAAAAGGGTATCATGAGTGCAGCCAAAGATAACGCTCTTTAATTTACTGAAAAATATTTAAACGGTTCAAATCCAAAGAAGAGGAAGCAGCGGCACTATCTTTTCGCACTCTAAATCTCTCTCAGACACTTATCGGACCTTATCAGCTCTCAGAACTTCACAGCTTCCGAGGCAGTTTCCTTCTCAGTTGTCTTTCACCTCTAATGTGCTATCATGCCTTCCCCAGGAAATTTGTCACTTTCTTATGTTGCGCTGTCACTTTCTTATGTTGCGCTATCTATTCAATCTTTGTCTGTGTGTGAATTTGCCAGGTTTTCAGACACACTACATTAACAGTACATTTAGCACTTGTTTGGGCAAGTGGTTAAACCTTTACTTAAGTAGAAGTACTAATACAACTATCTAAAATACTCCAAGTGAAAGCAGCAAAATGTACTTCATTATCAAAAGTAAAAGTAGAATTGCACATTCATTTGTAATGTTATAGTATAATTTATTGTATTTAATTATTATTAGTGATACATTGATGTAAACAGTATTTTAATGTTGTAGATGGTTAAACTGGAGCGACCGTTACCCCTTTATTTATTAGTACTTTAATCTAAAACAATAAATCATGTTTTATAAGTTTGTCATATGTTTTTCATATGAACATTCAATTTTTAAAAGTAACTAGTATCTATAGCAGTCAGATGAATATACTGTAGTGTAAAAAGTAAAGAGTACAATATTTCCCTCTGAAAGGTAGTGGAACAGAAGTATAAAGTTAAGCATAAAAAGGAAATAACCAAGTAAAGTACAACTTCCTTCAAAACTGTACTTAATGCATTACGTAAATATACTTTTTTTTCAGTGATAATAAAAAAATGATATAAATATTATTAAACGATAGGTCCTCTAAAAACCAGACTTTTTTGTTTCATAGCAAGAAAGAGAGGGAAAGTTTCCAAGTACGCCGGTGGGATGGGGCAGTAGAGGTGGGGGCTGGGGAATTCCAGTGAAAAGCCCGATTGTGATGAGAGCTTCCAGGAAAACTGAACCAGGCCGGTGAAATGTATAAAAACAGGCCCCTCAGCACATAAAAGTCAGTATCATCCCGTCCTTAGATACGCTGAGACTAAAGAAATACTAAGAGTCTTCTGTAGGTTATCACACATACAACTAAAAATGGTGAGTGAACAGGTATCAATTCATTTCTTCTCAATTTCAATTAAGTTCTCTTTAATGCAAATTCCTTTATTATGTGCTTGTAGTCAGTGATGCCTCTATGGTGTCAATTCATCTTTTCCTTTCTACTTTTTAAAAAAATTTTTTTTTTTTTACAGAAGTTCTGCTTTGGATTACTTGACACCCTTGTTTCTAAGACCTCTACCTCCTGGATTCGCTTGACCTTTCTTTGTTCAAGTATGTAAATTGAATGCAAACAGGACCTTTTATTCTAGATATGACTTTTTAAAAAAATCCTTATTACAATCTAATAAATGTCTCTGTCCTCCATCCTCAGTGCTGTGCATGTGGACTAGTGTAGAGTGCTGGTCCTACTTCTACTCTAACACCACCATGCCTTGGGATGAAGCTAGAGCCTGGTGCCAGGAGCACCACACAGACATGGTTGCTATCCAGAACCAGGAGGAGATCAAGTATCTCAACACCTGGCTGCCCCAGAAAGTCGGTTACTACTGGATTGGGATTCGCAAGATCAATAACATCTGGACCTGGGTAGGGACCAACAAGTCTCTGACAGCAGAAGCAACCAACTGGGCAAGAGGCGAACCAAACAATGGCAAAAACGGACTAACTAAGGGCATGAGTGAGGATTGTGTGGAGATGTACATTAAAAGGCTGAAGCAGTCAGGCAAATGGAACGATGAGAGGTGCTTGAAGCTGAAGACCGCTCTGTGCTACACAGGTGAGCAAAAGTTAGGGATTAGGATACAAGAGGTGCTCATTTTAGCTGCACTGTTTTTGTAACCTTGTTCAAGTTTTTTTTAAAGAAAAACTCAGAGAAATAGTTATAACAAATTTTGCAAGCTATGTGAAAGTACTTTTTCTTTCCCCAGCTGCCTGTAGGAACGACTCATGCCACTTTGGAGACTGTGTAGAAACCATCAACAGCCACAAGTGTGTCTGCTTTGAAGGTTTTAGCGGAGAGAAGTGTGAGAAAAGTAAGAAAATACACTGATGTTGTACTTTGTAGTTAAACGTTAAGTTTACATTGAAGTCACATACGGCCAGGACCTCATGTTTAATTATGTCTTGTTTTCTTTGTTGGCAGTTGTTAAGTGTAACAAAGAGAAGGTGACCCCCCCTTACAAGGGAAGTGTAAACTGCACTCATAAGTATGAAGACTTCTCCTACGACTCCTTGTGCCAGTATTCCTGCGAGGAAGGATACCAGCTAAATAGGAAAAAACCCCTGACATGTACTGCCTCAGGAAAGTGGTCAGAGCAGCCTCCTGCATGTGAATGTAAGTACATAAATGAAGTGATGTGATATTGACCAATACAACTTTGATTTCAAGTGATCGCATTCAGAGCAACAACATTTTATCATCACCATGGTGGAGCCCGCTGTAATGTGTTCTTGATGGTCCTGTCGTCCACAGTGGTTCGGTGTCAGGAGCTGACTCCTCCAACCAGAGGATCCATGAACTGCTCTGATCCTCTGGGCCCCTCCAGTTACCAGTCCACCTGTGTGTTCACCTGTGATGAAGGCTATGTTCTCAAAGGTTCCCCGTCTAACACTCTGCAATGTGAAGCGTCAAGAAATTGGAATTCGTCTCAGCCGGATTGTGTTGGTACGCACATATTTTTATGTTTTCACCATTACTTTACTGCTATTTTGTATTCTGGCCTGTTATTAAAAGGCTGCTGTTGACCTCTTCTGTACCTCCCCGTGTTTGCAGCTGTTCAGTGCCCTGCTCTCCAGAAGCTAGGGAATGGCATTGTCAGCTGTGGAGATGATGCAGATATGAGTTTCAGCTACGGAAGCACCTGCAGCTTCAGCTGTGCCCCAGGCTACCACCTGGTGGGACCGAGCAAGGTGACATGCACGTCAGCAGCTGAGTGGAGTGAGAAGATGCCTCACTGTGAAGGTGAGGGTGCACTTTAAGTCAAATCCAACCACCTTTGTACAATAAGAGGAGCCTTCTTATACCGTGCCTTTACACACATTTTATATATGTTTTACATATATTACACTTGTTTTCCCTTGTTAGCCATCACTTGCCAGAACCCAGAGGGAGAAGATCACCTGATCACCAACTGCAGCCAACGTTTGAATGACCTGCGGCCAGACTCCACCTGCAGCTTCAGCTGTGCCCCAGGCTACCACCTGGTGGGACCAAGCAGGGTGACATGCACGTCAGCAGCTGAGTGGAGTGAGAAGATGCCTCACTGTGAAGGTGAGGGTGCACTTTAAGTCAAATCCAACCACCTTTGTACAATAAGAGGAGCCTTCTTATACCGTGCCTTTACACACATTTTAGATATGTTTTTCATATATTACACTTGTTTTCCCTTGTTAGCCATCACTTGCCAGAACCCAGAGGGAGAAGATCACCTGATCACCAACTGCAGCCAACGTTTGAATGACCTGCGGCCAGACTCCACCTGCAGCTTCAGCTGTGCCCCAGGCTACCACCTGGTGGGAGTGCACACTATTCTCTGTTCTAAGGACGGACAGTGGACCTCCACCCCACCAACCTGCACAGGTAGGCCTATACACACTTACCCATTTTGCCTGCACTTTATTTGCATGCTCAAAGGTTTTGAGGCAGCAGAAGTATTACATCGCTAAAATTAGATCTCCTTTATCACTATGTGATGATGGTCAGAGCAGCCTCCTGCACGTGAATGTAAATACATAAATGAAGTGATGTGATATTGACCAATACAACTTTGATTTCAAGTGATCGCATTCAGAGCAACAACATTTTATCATCACCATGGTGGAGCCCGCTGTAATGTGTTCTTGATGGTCCTGTCGTCCACAGTGGTTCGGTGTCAGGAGCTGACTCCTCCAACCAGAGGATCCATGAACTGCTCCGATCCTCTGGGCCCCTCCAGCTACCAGTCCACCTGTGTGTTCACCTGTGATGAAGGCTATGTTCTCAAAGGTTCCCCGTCTAACACTCTGCAATGTGAAGCGTCAAGAAATTGGAATTCCTCTCAGCCGGATTGTGTTGGTACGCCCAAATTTTTATGTTTTCACCATTACTTTACTGCTATTTTGTATTCTGGCCTGTTATTAAAAGGCTGCTGTTGACCTCTTCTGTACCTCCCCGTGTTTGCAGCTGTTCAGTGCCCTGCTCTCCAGAAGCTAGGGAATGGCATTGTCAGCTGTGGAGATGATGCAGATATGAGTTTCAGCTACGGAAGCACCTGCAGCTTCAGCTGTGCCCCAGGCTACCACCTGGTGGGACCGAGCAAGGTGACATGCACGTCAGCAGCTGAGTGGAGTGAGAAGATGCCTCACTGTGAAGGTGAGGGTGCACTTTAAGTCAAATCCAACCACCTTTGTACAATAAGAGGAGCCTTCTTATACCGTGCCTTTACACACATTTTATATATGTTTTACATATATTACACTTGTTTTCCCTTGTTAGCCATCACTTGCCAGAACCCAGAGGGAGAAGATCACCTGATCACCAACTGCAGCCAACGTTTGAATGACCTGCGGCCAGACTCCACCTGCAGCTTCAGCTGTGCCCCAGGCTACCACCTGGTGGGACCAAGCAGGGTGACATGCACGTCAGCAGCTGAGTGGAGTGAGAAGATGCCTCACTGTGAAGGTGAGGGTGCACTTTAAGTCAAATCCAACCACCTTTGTACAATAAGAGGAGCCTTCTTATACCGTGCCTTTACACACATTTTATATATGTTTTACATATATTACACTTGTTTTCCCTTGTTAGCCATCACTTGCCAGAACCCAGAGGGAGAAGATCACCTGATCACCAGCTGCAGCCAACGTTTGAATGACCTGCGGCCAGACTCCACCTGCAGCTTCAGCTGTGCCCCAGGCTACCACCTGGTGGGACCAAGCAGGGTGACATGCACGTCAGCAGCTGAGTGGAGTGAGAAGATGCCTCACTGTGAAGGTGAGGGTGCACTTTAAGTCAAATCCAACCACCTTTGTACAATAAGAGGAGCCTTCTTATACCGTGCCTTTACACACATTTTATATATGTTTTTCATATATTACACTTGTTTTCCCTTGTTAGCCATCACTTGCCAGAACCCAGAGGGAGAAGATCACCTGATCACCAACTGCAGCCAACGTTTGAATGACCTGCGGCCAGACTCCACCTGCAGCTTCAGCTGTGCCCCAGGCTACCACCTGGTGGGAGTGCACACTATTCTCTGTTCTAAGGACGGACAGTGGACCTCCACCCCACCAACCTGCACAGGTAGGCCTATACACACTTACCCATTTTGCCTGCACTTTATTTGCATGCTCAAAGGTTTTGAGGCAGCAGAAGTATTACATCGCTAAAATTAGATCTCCTTTATCACTATGTGATGATGGTCAGAGCAGCCTCCTGCATGTGAATGTAAGTACATAAATGAAGTGATGTGATATTGACCAATACAACTTTGATTTCAAGTGATCGCATTCAGAGCAACAACATTTTATCATCACCATGGTGGAGCCCGCTGTAATGTGTTCTTGATGGTCCTGTCGTCCACAGTGGTTCGGTGTCAGGAGCTGACTCCTCCAACCAGAGGATCCATGAACTGCTCCGATCCTCTGGGCCCCTCCAGCTACCAGTCCACCTGTGTGTTCACCTGTGATGAAGGCTATGTTCTCAAAGGTTCCCCGTCTAACACTCTGCAATGTGAAGCGTCAAGAAATTGGAATTCGTCTCAGCCGGATTGTGTTGGTACGCACATATTTTTATGTTTTCACCATTACTTTACTGCTATTTTGTATTCTGGCCTGTTATTAAAAGGCTGCTGTTGACCTCTTCTGTACCTCCCCGTGTTTGCAGCTGTTCAGTGCCCTGCTCTCCAGAAGCTAGGGAATGGCATTGTCAGCTGTGGAGATGATGCAGATATGAGTTTCAGCTACGGAAGCACCTGCAGCTTCAGCTGTGCCCCAGGCTACCACCTGGTGGGACCGAGCAAGGTGACATGCACGTCAGCAGCTGAGTGGAGTGAGAAGATGCCTCACTGTGAAGGTGAGGGTGCACTTTAAGTCAAATCCAACCACCTTTGTACAATAAGAGGAGCCTTCTTATACCGTGCCTTTACACACATTTTATATATGTTTTACATATATTACACTTGTTTTCCCTTGTTAGCCATCACTTGCCAGAACCCAGAGGGAGAAGATCACCTGATCACCAACTGCAGCCAACGTTTGAATGACCTGCGGCCAGACTCCACCTGCAGCTTCAGCTGTGCCCCAGGCTACCACCTGGTGGGAGTGCACACTATTCTCTGTTCTAAGGACGGACAGTGGACCTCCACCCCACCAACCTGCACAGGTAGGCCTATACACAATTACCCATTTTGCCTGCACTTTATTTGCATGCTCAAAGGTTTTGAGGCAGCGGAAGTGTTACATCGCTAAAATTATCTCCTTTATCACTATGTGATGGTTAAAGTAAATTCTTGGTGTCTTCTGCCACATCAGTGAGATGCCCGTTGCTTGAGGCTCCTGAAAACGGTCATGTTAACTGCTCAAGCAATGAGCCAGTGTACAACTCACAGTGCTCCTTCACATGCAATCAAGATTACTCAATTGATGGACATGACCTGCTGACCTGTGATCGTCATGGCAATTGGACTGGAGAGAAACCCACCTGCCAAGGTAAAACAAACAAAAAAGATCAACTGTTAGAGGAAATCTAATACAATACAATGTTAAAATGCATTTTTGATCATTCACATTTGATAATGTTTCCACAGCTCCCCCATCTCCAGTCATTGCCATTGCTTCTAGCGTGGCAACAGGGGGCACTGTCTTATCTGGTCTGTCTGTGGCTATGTGGATCCTGAAACGACTGAAGCAGAAAGCCACCAAGTTTGAGCTGAGCAGGTTCGATGAGCATTCATCACTCTTAAATTGTACATTTTTCTTAAAAGACGAATTGTTGAATTGCAGTGCTCATCTTCTTCTTTTGTCTTTTCTTACAGCAACTCTGACATTGAGGTCCCTCCACAGGTCTACAAAAACAGCATTGACAGCCTCATATAAAACACCATCATATTCTTCCGAGGCAACGACGGGCAACTGTATATGTCTTTAACATAACTGCATGTGAATTACCCTTCATAGCATAAACAATATTAATAATTTACATTGATATACAACTTGGTAACAGAAATATATCCAAAACCAGTCTGTCAGAGCTATCAATGGTGAAAGGAAATGTGTTTTTTTAGACCTTTGCATTTGATGGTTGTATTATGTTTTGTTGAATTTCATGACTGGATTTCATGATTTGTTCTGTAACGTTGCTCTGATATTTATTTCCTCCCAAGGGGAGTTTTATATTGAACACATTGTTCAACAGCTTACTGGACATGCTGGAAAGGTGGCTCTATTCATGTTATTCTAAATGTTACATAACATTGTGAGTGGATTGCCAAGTCATTTCAGAACTGTGAAGAATTTCAATGTATGTATTTCAGTATTTATGTACTATTTATTCAAAAGGTGCTTATTGCATTGGCAATGTTCATTCATATTTCTGTATGTTTAAAGCAGTGTTGATTTTTATTCACAATAAAATTTCAAACCACCATTTGCTTTTGAACATTTTTTATGCATCTCCTTTATTATGGCCTATAGCTACTATTAAAACAATAAAAAAAAATTGTCAGTCATGATAGTACACTTATGTTTTACCACAAAGGTTCAGGCATCAACACACAACACTAGCCTATTCCCACACTTTGAGCAGGGACATTTATGCTGGCACTGCAGGACATTGTTGTGTTTTTTTAGGAGGAAGAACCATTTTCCAAGTACAATATAGACCTCTTAGGTGTTTCTGCAACCTTCCTTGCAATAGTCAAGACAGAGATGAATAGCTGAATAACAGTGAGAGGTATACAAAGGAGGAAACGGCTGTATTGCTGGGGTAATCTGTTTTACAGATCATCACCATTGTTTCCCCAAATTCTATGTCAGCACTTCTGCGTAACCAGAAATAAATGTGGTTTTACATCAGACTGAAGGCGACAGCATGGGCACCCTGTCTCTGTAATCTGTTGCAGTTAAAAACTTGATTTCACAAGATATCAGGATGCAGAGAAGCAGCATGTAAAAACTGTCAACTAGGATACTAAAATACACTAATTGGCTCCAAGATTTGATGGTGACCCTCCCTGTGTTTTACTTTAATTTGAAATGTGTTTTTATTGTTTGTATTCCCCTTATAGTTTTTTTTTTTCATGCCCCTCATCTGAAACAGGTAGCATTTCCCAAAAGGTCTGTCCAAGTACAACATGTCATTAGGTCAGTCATTCAGCCAATCATTCATCTCATGCATTTTACTCTGTACAGAAAACATCCAGGTATTGTATGATGCTGCTGGACTGAATTGACTGAAAATATAAAAGCCTGATACTGGTCCCTGGTTGCAGCAACTAACATTCACTTTCTGTACTGCTGTGGTGTGTAGTTTCATGTTTGAAACAATTAGAAAAACAAGGATTTGACCAGCAAGCTTATTTTATAGATTATTTTAGGAAATATATTTGCTAAATATTAAAATACCAATTCTGGGTAAGTAAACAAGTTCTTATTCAGTAATTTGTCAAGATGATATTCATCAATATTTTGGCTTCTGATTTTTTTTTTCTTAAGACAGACAACAGGTTTGAAAATGAACTGGACATTGATCCTCCTCCTTGGTGAGTATTAGGTTTAATACTGAGGCAAAATGTATATGATGGCACCTCCATAATCTTCTGATGTGAGATATAACATTGTGCATGAACTCTTTTGCGAATGAATTATCACTCTACAGTTGTCCTTAACTTGTTTCTTTTAAAATATATGTTAGGTAGCTCCTTAGCTGGGACTGTCTTCTGCTGGACATATCATTACTCAAACAAAATCATGAACTGGACCCAGGCCCGACAATGGTGCCAGACCAATTATACAGACATGGTGGTCATCCAAAGCCAGGCGGAGAATGACTATTTGGTCTCAAAGCTGCCAAATTTAACTTCTAGTCCATATTATTGGATTGGAATCACTAAACAGAACAAGAATGACACATGGACCTGGATTGGGAATAACAGCACATGGATTGGTAACGAGTCATGGGCAGTAAACGAGCCCAACAATAACCACATCACCGAGTTTTGTGTGGAGATCTACGTGAACAACAGAGATAACCGAGGGAAGTGGAATGATGAGAAATGCAGCAATAAAAAATATGCAGTTTGTTATAAAGGTATGTAAAGCTAATTGTTTTTTTTAACTTGTTTCAGTTTCAAAAGTGGTAGAGGTTGTTTTAGTGTTGCACATTTTCTTAACAGCCCAATGTAATACAACATCATGTGACAGAGGAACATGCCAGGAGACCATAAACAACATAACCTGCCTCTGTGAACCTGGCTTTGAGGGAGACAGGTGCCAAACAGGTGAGGAGAGCTCACTGAAATTAAGTCACCAGATTGTGTTTGTTTAAAGGATAGATTCATAATTTTTCATGTATTAAAACAATTCTAACATGCCCGTATGTTAATTGAAAAAGTTTTTGGTTATGTAATTTTACATTTTACAATGATCATTTTGGCAGATTTATTACTTAAAATTGGTAGTCACTTTTTGAACCAACAGTTAAGGCACAACCATGTCTAGTTACAGTGTGCAATGATTGGACAATGGCTTTAACAAAGCTATCAATTTTTACCCAACTTGTTTTAGTATTGCACTTTTTCTTAACAGCCAAATGTCATGCAACATTATGTGACAGCGAAAGATGCCAAGAGACCATAGACAACATAACCTGTCTATGTGAACCTGGCTTTGAAGGAGATAGGTGCCAAACAGGTACAGTAATTAATGTTTATTTGAACCAAAGATTACAATTTTATCTTAAAACAATTCTCACATGCCCACGTGTACATAGAAATGATGATGTAATGATGAACACATTGTGTACCTTGAGTGCTAAGGGTTTATCAAACTGTCCATTATAACCCACTCCAGTTCCCCCCAGCTCTATAAAGCTTCATTGCATCTTTCAGCTTATTGTTTTCATTTTTCAGTCCACAACCTTACTGTTTTGGCTTGTTGTGGCTGGTCTGTTAGCATTGCAGGTAGCTGTTTTATGTGAAAAGGTTAAAAAAAAAACGCATTTTGTTTTCCTGTGGTAGACAATATGTATGTGGAGGCATACCTGAAAACTATCACATGTGCGAGGTTAGGCATGACTCTGCCAGACTGTAGTATGTATATATCTCACTGCAAACTCACATTCTGACGTAAGGACTTTTCACTATCTCCTTCCACAGAATATCCTCAGTGTAGATCACTCACTCAAATACTTAAATGCATTTTTGACAGAATTTTAACACGGCCATCATAAACCCTGCATCTGTTTCCTCTGTTTCCTGGGGCCAGGCTGTGAATTCAAATACTGATCAAAATACTTGCATCAGCATGTCTGTGCTGTAAAAAAATAATAGAAAGCTAGCGTAAGTTGTTACATAACTGGATCCCTGGTAAACTTTAACCCGTTTGTGCCCCTAGCTCTGGAATGCCCCGCTTTGTCTCAGCCTGATAACGGATACCTTAGCTGCTCAGAAGGAAACCAGTCATTCAACTCAACCTGTCAATTTTTTTGCCACCCTGGCTTCCTGATGATAGGCTCGCCGGTAGTCTCTTGTGGGTTGACCGGTGTCTGGAGCGGCCCAAGGCCTACATGTGCAAGTAATGTTTTTTTGTTTAAGCAAACATTTAAAATAGATTTGTTTAAAAGCATAAATACACCAAAATTATTGCACAGGTCCGTTGCGCTTTCTCTGAAAAAGTGATTTTGATTTTTATAATGGGCAGCAGTAATAGTAGCTGTAGTAGTAGATTAACTTGTTTAAACTTGTTGTCATGTATTTTGTAGCTCAGGATAAAAATGTGTTTTATTTTCTCAGGCTACAAAAAGGCTCTGCTGGCTGTAGCTGGGTGTGGAGCATTCTCTGTCTTCTGCTGCATCTGTTTTTGCTGGATGAAACAAAGAAAAAGTCAGTGTTTCTTAATTACACTTAGTGTAATAGTGATGCAAGTCACTGTTATTGCAACAGACCTCAACAGTGATCTGTTTATGTGTTCATTTCTCACAGGAAAGAAACTTGCCCAAGTAAGGTCAGTGTTGAAATGGTCTTATCCAAAGCAGCCCCACCCATTTATGCACATTCAATATTTAAAACACTAGTTTACTAAAATTGTACAGTTTATTGGTGTTTAAAAAATATATGGCATGCTACTTAAAAATGCTACATTATTGTACAGTAACTGTAATCCAGTTTAGTAAATCATTCAGTAGATGTCCCTTTATGTCTTTATAGGCAGCCTGAAGAAGCATCAGGTCCATCCAGTGTGGCTCAGGGATGAAGAACAACTGGAAGCTCATCACCCAAATGCCTTTTTTTTCCTAATATACTGTTTGTTAAAGCTTCAGTTGGTTGTACTGGCTGGATATAAACTGTGGTGTGTTTGTGCAAGTGATGGTTTGTTATCGATTCATGCATATGTAAACTCAAAACATTCATTAAATAACATTAGAGTTGCATTTCTGTGGTGTCTTTGTTAAAGATAAATTTAGTAAAATAAAATAGATTTCTAAAAGTTTTTATTAGTACTTGTGAGTGTCTGTATGTGTGTGTGTGTGTGTGTGTGTGTGTGTGTGTGTGTGTGTGTGTGGGTGTGTGGGTGTGTGTGTGTGGGTGGGTGGATCTGTGTGTGTATGTTCCCAGAGTGGTATGGTTGGTAGAGTGGTGCCCTTCCTGAAAGGAAGTTACGGCGAAAGTGACATTACAAAATTGGTCATTGACTCATTCCCTGAAGGACACACAGTCATCAATCATCAGCAAAGAAGTGTAAATGCAGCAACAAGAGTGAGTGGTTGAAGACAGATCAAATGGTAAGACCTAACAAATATCAGTGCAAGTGTTGTACATTCATACATGCATGGATACATACTGTATATTCACACTCATATGCAATTATGAGAAAATAAGTTCTTTTTTTATTTCAGATGTTTCATCAATCAGTTGATGCTAGACAAATCCTGCGTCACAGGGTGCTGATAGCTGTATTACTTGTATTTGCCCAGGGTAGGTCTGCTTCCCTCTCATCTTACAGGCAGTAAACTGTTTCAAACTACTTTTTTTTTCTTGCTTCACCAGTTAAATTTTGTCTTATTGTCCGTATGCCTAATCTCAGACCTGAGCAGCGGAGGAGGAGCACAGGCATGGACCTACAATTACAGCATCAGTCCAAACCGTAGATGGCTTGAGGCCAGCCTGTGGTGCAAGCAGCACTTCACAGACATGGCGGCCATCCAGAACCAGGAGGAGACTGACTTCCTGAACAATCTGCTGCCGTTTAACCAAAAATATTACTGGCTAGGAATTCGCAAAGTGGGTGGAGAATGGATCTGGGATCGAACCGATGAGAAGGTGCCCCAAGAGGCTCAGAATTGGGCAACAGAGGAGCCAGATAACATAGTAGATCAGGACTGTGTGGAGATTTATATTAAGCGGGAGTTTGACACAGCCAAGTGGAACA